CTAATGAAAATTGATTGCTTCTTTTTGTTATTTTATTTGGGTGTAAAAGCGTTGACCGAATCACATTTTTGGAAGCGCGGAAACGCTTCATACTAGAAATGTGCGCATGTTCAACGCTTTTATACACTTATAAAATTACAAAAAGAAACATTGAATTGTCATGCTTCAACCATAAATCAAATCATTGCGTGTTTTTCTATGCATTGTTTGAACGGTGTCACGGATACTACGTGCAGTCATTATAGATGTTGGGAAATAAAAATAAATTTTATGAAAGCTATGATTTTCTATGTAGTGTAAATATAGACCAATAAAAGCGGTCCTACTAAAAAGCGCCCGGGAAAAGAAAAAGCACCCGGGGAAAAGAAAAAGCGCCCCGGAAGAAAAAGAAAAAAGCGCCCGGGTGAATAAAATAATAATATTTTATAACAATAAATGTTTTCCTGAATAAAAAAAAAATGATCATTGCTTGTTTTGTCCTTTATATAAAGGGGGATATGTACGATGCTAAAGTGTGTAGATAGTGTTGTTGCGCTTTTACATTTTAGATTTCAAAATTGTATATAAGTAAGTAAGTAAATATAAACCTAAAGGTAATGGAGTTGGAAGCGAAGTATGAGCACAGTGTTCCCGTGTTTCAACGTTATTTTAGCAGTAATACATCATCTCTGAAGAGCTATGTCTGGGAACCGACACAAAAAGACATTGCCCCAATTAACTGGAAGAACAATTCATGCAAATTCATGAATAATATTTTAAAACTATCGACAAATTGGAAAGCCGTTAAGCTCCCGGACCTTATAGACAAACTACACAAAATTGTTCAATTACAATATCGAGATATACGCCGAGCATTACATGACCAGGGGAACTATGCGTTGGCTCCTTGGGCTAAAAAACTTCAAGTAGCAGAAGTGGTATGGTCGCCGAAATGTGCAATAGAAAAGGACGCCATTTTCAGAAAGTTTATGAATCTAAGCAAACCGAGAGACAATTTTGTGGAATCATCTGACGGAATATTAAAGATTCCTAAAACACCAACCACCGCAAGGAAGCCAAACCAAAAGAAGCGTATTCGTAGCAACAAGACCACTACCTTGAAATTTTGCTGATATAGATTTATTATATCTTTTTATAAAACTAAAACTGTTTTAATGGCTATGCTTATCAGCGTTTTAATGCTTAGTTTTAAATTTAAACCAAAACTCCTGCTTTTTGCCCCCTTGTTTTAACTACGGTACATGTATAGTACTAGTACTGCTTTATTTGCTGATTTATAATAATTTTTTTTTGTATAAATCCAAAACTGTTTAAATCGCGGAATGCGATTTGTAATGTTTATCCGTGATTCAATGTTATTTGTTTTATACCAAACACCTGCTTTTAACATGCATAGTAAGAAAAGAAATGCATCAAAATACCAAAGCCACTGAATGATTATCTTGCCGTGGTGCTTCAGTTGGAGAGGTATTATCAATCTCTGTACTTAACCAGATAAATAGATAGGCTGGTGGGTAGGCACTCGAATTAACAAGAATTTGACGCCGTTACCAATATTATTTAAGACCGCCGTCTTTAATATCTAAACAAAATCAGACATGAGCTAGCTCATCAGTTTTGCTATTTTATTGATGTCAAGAAATCATTTTAAAGAGATATAGCTCTGCAAATGATAAATCAAAACAGCTGTCACCGCATGCTTCAATGATGAACCACGACCCTCTATGCATGGATACCCATGATGTGGTTCTTAATCTTAATTTCTATCAGGCAAAGTACAGATAAAACAAGGAGGCATGAGTTTCCTGGCGAGGGACAGACACATAGGCGGATGAAACTAGTTTTGTGAAATTCAATCAACACCCATTATTTTTTTTACAGTGGAGTACATATGACATGATTCACTTATAAATGTAAAATAAGATGAACAGCATTTTTGGCTGGTTTAACCAGATAAGTACATCAGAAAAAAACAAGTATATTTTGAAAGCGTGCTCGGAGTAACTCCACTTACACTATCACATTTCAATGCTAAGTGAACTATAGTTCAGGGTCAAAACTGTAAGGTGGAATATAAACATAAAAGTGCACATCATTCTTAATATGTGTACCAAGTTTCAAATTTATGCTGACATTACTATACACGTAGCACACGTGTGACCAAGACTTCATCGTTAACTACCTTAATTAAACCTGATACCTTAAGGATGAATTGACGAACAGACGGACGGACGGGATAGCGGACGAACGGACGTAATAACGGACGGACGAACAAATGAACAAACATACATTACCCTTACTATCGTAAAGAGAGCACACATAAAGAGTATTGAGCTTACTGGTTACAAGGAAGATTAAGATGGCAAAAATCAACAGAATAATGTATGACCAACAAATCCCAAGGAAAACGAAGACATTTTTGCAGGTTAACCGAAGTTTACTGGTATCTAACAATTGGGTACTTCAAACCTCATTAACAGGTGCTGTCTGATATCGTGTATTCCTACTGGAATCAAGTTCATGTATTTATAGGAACAGTTAAATGATTGGTTAATTACTATTGGCTTAACCTTTATGTCCAGTGGCAACTAGTTCATGAATATTCAAAACGATGGAACCAATTTTACGTGAAGCAATGGTATGATTAAAAAAAACCCATTGTTCAAGATTTTTATGCTGTTTTAATGTTCTTATCATCATCTAAGCATGGTGAACATTTAATTGTTTAAAATGTTTTGATAAAGCAGAGGTGGCTCTGATCAAAGACAGATGAGAAAATATTCTTTGCAAATTAAATGGTTTCTGATGTCATTTAGGCATCCAATTTCATCTTTGTTGGGGTTGCATAGCTTTTTTCTAAATATCTTTTTAATTTGAAAATTCTTTGAAAATTTTTTTTGATGAAGAGAAGTGTTTCTGGTAAAAATAACATTGATTTAAAAAAAATCTTCCTGTATATTAAACAATAATTTGTATTTTTTATTTAAAATAATAAAATGGTCTCGAGAAAAAAAAAAATTGGCCCCGAAAAAGATTAATGGTTGGTGCCTTAGGAAGCAAATAAAGTGTTTTATCTTATAAGCTGCTTGTCAGATCTAATTAATACTAGGATTTTTTAAGAAAAGAAGAAAATACCAATACAAGGTTTTAATTCCTTCATCAAAATAGTATTTTTGTGACGATCCTAAGTACAGGTGGACACCTTGACCTCTGAACCTTTTATTGTTTATTGTGACTGTTAAGATTTTATAGATTGTCACTTTCATACTGACAATTTATTATAAAGACATTTATTAGCCTAATGATTTAATTTGGTTTTTTAATGAATTCATACGTGTAAAATTATGACAAGTTACGCCTGACAAGTTTGAAAAGTCATTAATATCATGCCAAAAATCATCATAAAAATTCATTTAATTCGCATAAAAACAAAACCTCAATTTGTCAAACCCACAGTGGACTTTATATAGTTCATCGAAGTGGAAAGTGTAATAACTGTTCGGTTTTGGTTTAAAAAGGTGCTAGAGTATGTAGTGCTGTATAAAAAAGTGTAAACCCATCAATTTGATCAGCTAAACACCCCTGAGCTAAACATGCCACTAGACAAAGAACCACAATCTACCAATGGCATTTACATATGAAATGTATGAATCTCAGGTGTTCAGTAATTGTTTTGGACTGATATTTTGTGTGAAGTAATAATGGACAGGTTGTGGCAGATTTGTATTACAATCCTTTCTTCAAAGACTTATTAGGTAATAGTATAAAAATCTTAGATTCTCATAATTGGATACAAGACTAGAATCCTGGGTGCATACTGCTTACAAGAATATTACAAATGACAAAGTTACTATAACCATTCTACAAAACATGGTACACATACAAGATCACAAACCTGTGACAACTTGTATCTGGGACTATTATACTATTAGTATAAATAGTATAATAGTTCCAGCATATATTTAGTTTAGTGGTATTCAGGAAATTGACAAAAACCAACTGCATGAATTTTAACAGCAAGAAGAAGTAGTGAAAATAAAGCATTAAGCATATTGAAATTGTCCCTTTTATTCTTGGTTTTCATAAAAATTTAGAGATTACTTACCATGTGATTTTCCTACAATTTAATTACAAATCTACAAACATTGGGAGCGGGAAGAGTATCACTATAAAGATTGTTAGGAGCTTCATTTGATAGTCAAACTTACATTTCATCTGATTAATTTCAATCAATTTGAAAGCAATAAATTTTTAACATCATGGTTATAACTGTTGATATCTTTTTATTTCAAAATTTATGGGTGTATTTTGAGTATATTTTTCACAGGCATACACCAGATCATTTTGATGGATTAAATGTACTAAACAATGAAGTTCCGCCAATGACCTGAAGCTACTTTCTTTTTTTTGGTTATAATCAATGAAAATAACCTGAAACGTAGTCCTTTAAATTCTGAAACAATGAATTTGAATTTTAGTTTATAGTCGGGGCTTGAACAATCAAGAAGTTTCTTTGTTTTGATTAACTTGATTTCAAGTTTCCTGTTTTGTAGAAGATAAACCTACATTTCTATATCTAACCCTAGCAAACAAACCTTAGGGTGTATTGGAATCACCATGTCCATCCATAAACACAACTCCTTCTCAATGACTATAAGGATCAGGGGCGGATACAGCCATTTTCAAAAGGGACGGTTCCCAACCCAGGATAAAGGGGGGTTTCCAACTATATGTCCCCATTCAAAAGCATTGATCGTCCAAAAAAAAGGGGGGTTCCAACCCCCGGAACCCTCCCCCTGGATCCGCCAATGAGGATATTGATGAAACTTTAGATCACAACCTGAGCATGTGCTTAAAGGTATATAATCCTAATCTAACTGTTAAGGGGAAGATATTCAAAGTTGGGTGACAAGGTCGACCTTTTTGTGATTTTACTCACTGTTCTAGTTTCCATATTAACTTTTCTAAATACCAACAAATAAACAAACAACTAATACAAGTATATATAGAAAGATTTATTCAATATTAAAGCACCTATATTGTTAATCAACAGTAATGCAATTATATATTACCTGAACAAAAATATAAATGCACTGTTATAGTTAAAAAGACTAGATGTAATACAATCTGTTTGAAGTAAATTCTTTTCTGATAATGTTATTTTTAATTCAGAATAAACATTTGTGTGATTATGGAATATATAATCTGTGTCATATGAACATTTTATTAGTTCTTATTAAGTGTGGTTTTATAAAACATTTCTGTGAAATGAAGCAGATAAGTTAAAGCTGTTAAAATAATATGCATTTTACTTACAATTGCTCACATACAATTATACACACCTACAAATGCTTCATGAATTGTTTTAATATCATACAAATGTCTTTTAAGTGTAAGATATTTATGAAATTGTTTCAGTTCTCATATCAAACAACTTAGGGGAACAGGATGTTGTTTTCATTTATTTTTCTATATATGAAATACCCTCCTTTTAACATATGTATTACCTCCCTTGCTACACAGTACCAAAAAAGAGGTTATAAATGCCAAACCTCTTAAAGGAAGGTTGTTCTAGGTGAATATCAATTAACTCAACTGTAGAGTCTTTCTATGTTGACATTCTTCTAATGGCAGCAACAAAGAGCTTTACCAAATATTTCAGTCTAATAGTCAATTGATATTGTTTGTACAACCTACAATTCATTTTTTTTCCATGTCTTCCCTTTTCAAAACATTCATAAGAATTCAAAGAAGTTATCTCCCTTCTTTCTTCACAATACAAATCAGCATATATTCAGGCAGTAAAAAGTAAATATCTTGATTATGTAAAATAGTTAAAATAAAATATTACAAAAATACAACTGCATAACAAAAAATTGTAGCATTAACAACTGACGTGAATGATTTATGTTATAAAATGATTTGATGAGATTAAATGTTGATTTCGTGCAACTGAACACATATATGTGCAAAAATACTTTTTAAGATATATGTATATTATATATTCAACAAATATACAGATTTATTTCATTTTGTGTATTGACACAGAAAAAAACACATATGATAGTCAGTCATGTGGTCTTTGTGTGCAGCAACCATTTTATTTTATCAAAATATGTCAACAGATGCCATCTACCTTGAGATAGTATCTAATTATTTTCTACAATAGGTTGGTTGAGGGTGTTTAATGTCCTTCACAGCAATTTAATGCTCTAAGTTGAAAAGTAGTTTATACAGTTGAACATTTCCAATTATATAAATGCATTTAACATTGATGTTCGACACAAATACATATGTTCGATGCACCACATAAATATTATTTTTTTATGTGTAACACCTAAACATAAATATGTGATGTTCCACAAATATATATATGTTTGATGCACCACATAAGAATATCTTTTTTCTATGTAACACATAAACATAAATGTGATGTGCTACAAATATATAACTGGTTGATGTTCTACATACATGGAAATGTAAAGCAAAAATGCCTAAAACATGAAGATGAAATAACAGTCCTATACAATTAATTTGCATTTTAAATTCACTTTTCTCCAACCGAAATGAACATTTTTGTAACAATGATTACTGCTAACAAAGTCACACGGTATAGTATTAGTAGATCCTTACATTACATGTAACAACCTTATAAAGCCAGCTTTTCAGTTAGGTAGACATAAATAAACAATCTGATATAAACAGAAATGGGGAAAATACACAAAATATTCCTTGAATATCTTAATTTTTATCAGTAAAGGATTAATAGGAAAATGCTGAAAACAAAATTATGCTGTTTCACTTTTGCAAAATGTCTGGTTATAGAAATAATGAAACTTTTTCTGGTTACAAATTGAACTTGTTTATAAAAAAAAATCCCATGGTAGGATATGGCTTTAAATTTATGGACAAAAGTAAAAGAAAACTATAGTTGAACTTTCTTTCTCAACACCTTTATCCGATAAGATTTTTATGATTCATAATTATTTATGTGTACTTTATTTATGTTTATAAAATGTAAGCTTAAGATTTCATTTCAATCTGATGTATCATTTTTTTCTAATTTTAAGGCAAATATCTGATTTATTTTCTAAACTAAACCTAATCTAAAACAATGTTTTTACTAAATTACAGTTTTGATTATTAATTTTGACAACCAATATCATTTTTGGAGTATCAATTCAGATGATTGTCCAAAAATATATACAATCAACAAGCTGGATTTCAAATTTTGTTTTAAAGCTTTTGTCCAATTTTTAGGATTTACAAATAATTAAACAAAACAAGGAGTTCAAACAAAAGTGTTTTTTCTTTATAAATCAAATTTTAATATTAAATTTATAACTTTCTGAAAAATTCTGAAGCTCTTACTTTAAAATAAAATTCATACTCAATTTAATTAAGAAATAAATCTACCTCACTTTTACTACCATTTAAAAAAAAAGATTGCCATTTATTGCACAAAAAAAAACAGTCATTAGAGAAAACAAGTAACGCATTAGAGAAATTAAACTGATTGAACACAAATAAACTGTATTGCACAGTGATTTTGAATCAAATTTTGCAGATATAATTCTGAATATCAATCCATTTATTTAGGGTAATTTCATTTAAAAAAAATGTTAGCTATTGTATTTTTAAAGTTATTGATTTTAAATCAATATTTCACAATGCAATGATGCAGGTAATAAAATGAAGTAAAACATATTCTTATATGTAATTTTGTGTCATATAAAGATTTCGGTGCAATGAATATGTTTTCTCCATCGTATATAGCACTGAATAAACAAAAAAAATGTCTCTACTGTTAAAACTACGAACACAAAATAATTCAATATTGCACATAAAATCTGTACAAAAAAATAATAATAATAAACAAAACTTAACAAAAATCATCAATTTTAGGCACTTTAAATGCTTCTATAGCTAAAACAAAAAATATAACTCAGCTTATTAAAGCAAAAAACAATCCTGTCCAGAACTGAAAAATCAGCTGATAACAACCTTCATCTTGTCTGTAGAAGTTAATTATTCAAAGTGCACAGCACCAACTAAAATATGTAACAAAGAATCTCTAAGTTAAAACAAATGGTGAAATATTTCTATGTCAAATGACTATTGAAAAATGGTGGAAATAGAAGATTAACATCAAATTAAAGATTTAATATGGCTAGATCAACAAATCAGACTTTTTACTTTAAACAAATTTACATATTTTTTTAAACGGTAATTGGAATCCCAAAGATTTTCCTTGCCATGTTGTTATTATCAATATTATGATTTTAACACGCATTCGTAACCGTTTGAGTTTTTAAATCACAAGAAAGTTTCTTCACAGACAGACTCTTTTGCTTCAACGCCTACCTCCTGCATTGTGAAAGTTTTTGATAAGAAAGGTCTGTGCATTCTGATTGGCAAGTGTAGATATATTTGAGAGTCTTTATACATGTTAATAAATTCTATACATCATAAAAATTGTTTTGGATTTTTCTTTATCAATTTTAATAAAAATTCCATGAAAACAGAAAATTTCCTGAACAGACGCGACTCAAAGAAATGTATTTTGTTATTTCAACGCCCAAAGAAATCAGGGTCTAGAGCTACTGTTTACTTGTCAATTACATAAATATCTAGATTTGCATGATTTAAAACAGAATTTTTAAGTCAGGAAAGTCTGGAAATTCTGATTGTTTCCTAATACATATTATTTTGAAAACATTTCAGTGCTTAAAACGTCCATTGCAAAAAGCTCAAATTACTAAAGCCTAAACCAATGTAAAAAATAGAACAAAGTATTCCACCCTTAAAACATGTGATTGAAGCGAAATCAACAAAAATTTGTAGAATATACAATTTTAAAGTAATGGAGCAATTGGATATAATATACAGTCTGAACACATCATGTATCAATTTGTGTCAATCAAAATAATATAATAATACTTAAAATATAATTGTTTTCTAAAGCTATACTCTAAATAGCATGATATATAACAGAAGCCATATTTACAAGATTTAAGTTTTAATTATTCGTCTACGTGTCCACCTGGAGTTTAAAAACCTTTGCTTCTATCTTTTATAAGCCATCAAGATGTACCCTTTCTTGCTTAAATATTGCATTTCAAAAAACTTAATGTAGACTATATACAGTCAACATACTCTAATCACTGAACTCTTCATCAAAATTTCATTGGGCAGATAAATGCAATAAATTCCAAACCTGTATTTGACTAGCAGGATGGACATCCCCTGTAGATTTCAAATCGGTTAGCCACATCGAGCAAAAAGGAAGCCTTCATATAAAATCAAAACATATTTCTAACTATTAAAAGTCTTGTTTTAGTGAATTTAAAATTCTGTTACATTTCCATGCATACTTAAATAAAGAGTGTTTTTATCCTCAAAATCAATTTGATACAACATAAATGCTGTTAGACCAGTGGTAAATTTCATTCCTACAAACTTTTCAAAATCTCCATAGAGAATTTCAAGTACAGGAGGACCTAATACATTTCTTATACATGTTATGGCTCTTTTAAATTTTCTCAGAAATTCTTATCGGTCAGTCAATCTATTTTTAAACTCCAGTTGGACACAGTAGTAATAGCGATTAGGGTGATTTTTGTAGTTAACTAAATTTACGTAAATTTATTACTTGGCAGTGTAATCAACAACCGAAATAAAATCGACAACCAAAAAAAATATGACACAAATAAAATAAAAATACAAAAGCCTTGAGCATATTTCTTTACATGAGATTTGGTATATAATATACTAATTTCTGTTGCAGAATAATTACTTTTTCTTTTTTATATCTTATCAATCTTTACTAACCAGCAAAATATAATAAATAAAAAATTCCAAACCTTTTTAAACAACCTTTTAATTCCACATTAAAAATCTGAAAGTTTATTTCATTTAAATTAAATTTTATATAAAGAGAAAGAACCACAGTTTTTCTATTTATTTAATTTTTTCATAATGCCAACAATTTTCAATAATTTGGAGAGTATGATATAAATGCAATTAATACCTTCCTGTCTTTGACATTCAAGTTGAAAAATGTGATGAATTATAATTCTGGGAATGTCAAGAATGAAATAATTAAGTTTAAGAGTTACATCCCCTTTTGAAAGGAAAATAACTATTAAAAAAAGTAATGATCTTGGCTTTTCCTAATTTTACTATCAAACTTAAAGAGTTATTTAATGAATTTGCAAGAATCAAAACATCAAATATGCTTAAGTTTCTATTTCAGACTTTGAACCAAACTTTAGAATGAAATTAGCTAATCAGAACCCTTTTGTAATCATAAAAGAGGTATTTTTATTCAAATGTTCAGTCAACAGGCATCACCTTTCTTAGGAAACATATTAAATGGTCCCCAACTAAAAAAAATGTTTTTTAAATTTTTATTTATTTTTCTGAGGAATAACCTATTTAGTCCAATCCTCAAGACCCTTGACAGACAATAAATGAGTTAACTTTTTCACCTTACCTTAACACAGTTGTTTCAATGTTTGCTGAATATTTTAATACTTTTTTTTAAAAATTTTGGCAATATATTAATTCTTTATCAATAAATAGTAACGAATCCAAACACAGTAACCATAGCTGTTTGGTATTGTGTACGAGAACAAAATAAACATGTAGTATAGATTATAAAAATAATAAAAACATTCATAACAAAGCTTCTTAATACAACCTAATAAATCTAACTTTCTTTAAATAGATAAACTCATAAAGCTATTTTTTAAAATTAAATTTACCCTTTGTGAGCCTCATATGTTTATAAACATTAAAATGAGCAAAAATTTCAAAAACTTAAAAGCACATCTCATTTCCAAATCACCCCATTTTAACAATGTAAACATAGTTACTTTCCTGTACATATTCTCTTTGAAGCTTTAACATGTGCTCTTTTATCATAACAATTTGGAATAACAGATTTTTTGGGCTGTTGAATACTTGAATTTCAGTAGACACTAAAGCATTTCTATATTTCTTATTCAGTCCTTCTAGTTAATTCAGAATAATCTTTCTGTGGTTTCTGCTAGATTCACAAAACAGACATTGAATTTTAGATTTTCAACATGCAAGCTCCGATCTTGCTAGTAAAACTTGACTATAATCATGAAAATCATGATAATTTCTTCAAACATTTTGTCCTTAGATCTCTAGAAACTTAAGATTAAAATGTTTGGATTAGAAATATTTGATTCAACAGAATATATAAAGGTATATAAAAATATGGAGTAATGTGTCTTGATAATATATAATAAAGAAGCAAGCACTTTTGTACATATAATAATTCTATATACACCTAGCTATGAACCATAACAATTACTGTCAGTTCAATTTACACTTGTTTTCTGTTCCAGAATAAATGTTTGCAACTGCAACTTCCATGCTCAGTAGAGATCTGTTCTTTAAACACACACACTTCAAAAGCCAAAGGACACCTCATGTTTACATTGTGTAAACAAAGGTCACAGATAGCCAAGGTTAAAGTTACAATAGTTTGTGGGTGGTCATTCAAAGTTAACATCTAGCTATTTCCAAATAAAATATGACTGTACTTTGGACAGGCATCCATTTTTTTTGCATCTTATTGTCTATATCAATATAAACTGAAATGCAACTAATATGACAAAAAGCTAAGATTTCATCCATTCTATCCATAAACAAAGCAAATAACAAAGTGAATGAAAACAAATGATTCTTCCATGGCAACTAGAGATCTTTGGTTGAGATGATGTTTCTACTCTAATTTGTTGCCAAGCAACTGATGTCAAATGATCTTTTGAAAATGATGAATATCAAATATATAAAATTGAACAATGAGAAAAATTCACAATAAAAATACATCAACAAGTTTTTAACATATATATGCCATAAAAATTCACAAATTTAACAAATGTATCTCACATTGTCAATGATTGACAAAAAACGGAAAAACACATAAAAAATGTACTTTTTCATATAAAAATATAGAAGCTACCCTTTCAGGATAAAATACTGTTTTCCATGATTGTGTTTATAATTTGTGTCACAATTTCACAATAATATCATTTGTAGAAGGCAAAACATTAACTCTCCGAGTACATGTGCACTTAAAATTCCCACGTACCAGTCTGTGGGCTATGTTGTAGATTCTTCTTTAATTTTTCAATACTTGGAACATTGTCAAATTCATCCCAGTCCTGAACAGGTGAATCTATCGCCTTTTGAAGTTTCACAATTTTGTTTAAATGCTGGCCATTTTGAGCTTTGTAGTTTAGGTCTACATTTCCCAACTCGTTTTCTTTTTCAACATCATCATCGTCCATTTCGACACCTTCATCTTTGGAAACACAACTTTTTAACATGCCACCATACATATTTTTAGTTTTGTCTAGTTCTCTCCCTTCAGAAACATATTTTGGATTTGACCTTTTGCGTTTGTTTACACCAGGTGATATATTCTGACAAGGTTCACTCTGATTCGGATTCTGATCTTCATCATTTGAATGCTCATCAATTTCATTAAAAACAGGGTAGGATGACTCATCCTCATCTTCCAGATCATCTTGGGCTTCTTTGGTTTCTTCTTTTTCTGACGATTGACTACCAGATTCTTCTGAGCATCCATTTTGTTGCTCACGAGACCTTTCCTGAGCAATTTTCTGCATGACAGCTGGCTCAAACTGTGGAAAAAGCCACTGATTGTTAGGCTGGTTTCCATGGAAACTTGATGACATGTGATTTGTGTCATCAGATAAGCTTGAAATATCACTATGCATTGAAATATCATCATTGGGTTCTGACTTTATATTTGGATTGCTGGAATTCCCATCTCCAAAATTAGATCCAACCTGCATACTGCCAATATGCTGTTGTTGCTTAGCTCTCATACGGTGATTATGGAACCAGTTTATAACAGTTTTGACACCAACATTGAGCTCAGCAGCTAATGATTCTATTGTTCCCTGATTTGGGTACGGATCCTGGTTATAAGCTAGACGTAGTTTATCTTTCTGTTCTTCTGTGAAGAATACACGAGGGCGTTTTGGCATGGAGGATGAATCATATGACCTTTCATCTATACTACTTCTACGACGACGTTGAGCTACAAATGAAAAACAAACTCTTAATAATTCTTCTTTTATGAAATGATATATTAAGCATGGCACTTACATATCATAAATCACATTCAACACTGTGTATTCAGAAATTTTTGTAATGGTAACATTACTGCTTAATATGCAACAGAAAAGCTTTCTCAAATTTTAAACTTTGAAATCATTATTTTGCATTTCACATGTTTGTCAATTGTTGCAATAATAAATGCACACAAAAATTTCTGAATTAACAGTAATAAATAAATATATTTTTTAACATTATTGCAATCAAATGGTTTTTCTTAACCATAACTTAAATACAGTGCAACCTGTCCGAAGCAATCTCTGGTGTTGGTGCAAACAATACAAATTCTTGTAACAGAAAAACTAGCAAAGTCTTTAGTCAAAAGTGATCAGGTTTAAACAAGACTCAATGTATAACTTCTTTTTAACTACTGTATATAAGCAGGAATTTTCCCTTAGTGTTGAAATTTAAGTATCTTAAGCTTCAATTTTCAGTTGTATATTTTTTTATTTCTTACTCAAAGAAAACCTTTTACATTTTTATTTGTATATGCATGCTGATGTATTGTGTAAAAATATCTTTATTATAAATCACTCTGATAATTTGAATTCAAATATGAATTAATCTGAAAATTTATCATTATTATTCTCCATTGGAAGAAAATTTCCGAAATTCACTCTTACCATTAAATCATTATTCTAAATTTGACTTTGTTTTGTAAAACTTAACAACTATACACCTTGTACGCCAATTTTGAGTTCTTTCGCCATTGATGGAAACAAAACATTTTCATATAATTTATTTATTATCACAAAGGAAAAAATTTATTGATTGTTTTGCCAAGATCATGAGGTGATTTAGCCCTAAAGTGAGGTCAGTCAAATTAAATTCCCAGAACTCAAAATTGGTGTATTGGCAAAACATTGTTTGTTTATGCAATATAGACTACCAAATAAGAAATTTTAAATTTTGAAACAGAAATTTATATTACAAAAAAGATTCTGCAATTCTAATTATTGTCTGCATACATTCAACTGATGACTTTGGTAAGTGAATAGAATTACAAATTTAATTAATACCTTTGACCTCATTCTGGTAATGTTTAAGTCTGTCTACATTATGAGGGTCACTCAACCATAAGTGCATTTTTATGAAGGGTTCTCTCCCCTTTATACTAAGCATGTGCCACGGTTTTGGCTTTGATAACAATTCACTGACTGAGCCTTGTGAAAGCCCTAGAACAGCTTCTCCAAACAACTTTTGACCCAAATTGTGAAACTGCAGCACATCTTTAATTCTTGATGTCAACTCAAGTGTGTCAATCTCTGATGTCATGGCGACCACTTCCAACATGGAGGATGGATATGAAAATGAGGCCCAGTTGTACGGATGATGATTCATAAACGGGTGGGCGGGATGTAGATGTTGGTGATGAAGATGGATATTGTGTTGGTTGAGAGGGCGGTGTTCTGTGGGAGCTTGGTGAATGGTGGAGCTGGTTGCAGGAACATGATTGGTTGGCTTGTCACTAGGGGAAACTACCAAGGAGAAAAAAAATGTCTAAGGAAACGTGAAACGGAAAACAAACAAAAAACTTGTAACTAAAATTGGGATGCAAGTTTAGTATATGGCCAATATAAGTCATTCCAATATGAGCTAGAAGATTATATGTGTATATTATGTTAGACTTTATAAATTAAAAAGCAGCACAGGCATTTAACGTCAAACAGTTATCAATATCCTAATTTATTTTACAATTTAAAGTTATATCAGAGTATTAAATTTGGGGTTGTCAAAATTGAATATATTAAATAGGACATGGAAAACATTTGTTTTCTAAAAGTTTAATTCTATGAAGGGGTTGTATCAATATTTGTCAAAAGCCTAAAAAATATGGAAATATTTTGTTTATTCAAAAACTAAGCAAATGAATCAATTAAATTCAAAATCATTTTTATTAATCCTTCATTTTAAATAAATGTTAATTAAATGTTGATTAAAAAAAATTCCAGAATTTTTTTTTCTTTTGGCAAAAACTAATTATAGAAGAATTTGATTAACATAAATTTTACAAAATTATCAAAAGAAATACAATTTTTTTAATGGTCAACATCTGGGCTCCTATGTAACCAAAGTGTATTTGGTCATTTTGAAACTTGAGGCAACAATTAATTTAAATAATATCAGTAATATTTATTCAAAGTATATTCAAGTCAAATTTGTTCTAGATAAGTTTTAAGTTTGATATTTTTTAAAATGCAACAAGATTTACTAGCAATAAAAATTTATTATGATCATCCTGTGTAAAGGTTGATCATGGGTTATAATTATTTTTGTTAATTAGCTGCAAATGATCGGTCTAGATTTTTGCTAAAATTAGAAAATTGAATGCAAAAGTGAAATTCATTTGTGAGACTTTTTATTTAAATGAAAAAAATATATTTCCATCAATTCGTAATGTTTAAACTTTGTTATTTGATGGGAGATAATTCAGAAAATTAATTTTTATGACTGAAACTGCACACTTCTGTATTTTGTAATGTTGCAAAGAAAACAGGTTTGGTGGTCCAAATTTTTCTGAAAATGCATAAAACTAGCAAATCTAATGAAAAAATGAAATTCATATGAAAAGAAAAATAAAACTTTGTTATCTAAGGGGAGATAATTCAGAAAATTATTTTTTATAAAAGAATGTACAGTAAATTTCTCCATTTTGTAATCTAGTAAGTAAACAGGTTTGGTGGTCCCAATTGTCTTTTTCATTATCTGAAATCACATAACAAGTGCTATCTTCTCATATTTTTACTTTAAATTTCTACTGTTTAGTATTTTTGTAGTCACACAAGTTTAATCTTTACAAAATCTTACAATTTTGCACAGCCTGTTACTTGATAAAAAATCTTAATGACCCATATTTTTATTTTATTTTTGAAAATAGTAAGATAAATATTACATTATTAAGAAGTATCACAATATATATTGCTTTAATTTAGACCCAAATCTATCTCCCAAAATAAAAATAAGAACAGGGGTTCAATTTATCCTATCTTGATTTTCCTGAACAAGGTTTACAAATACCATTGAAATTCATTATCCTCTAACATATCAGCAAGCATGCAAGGTTGTATTTAATACCAATCATTTCCCTGGAAACATCAAATTAAGTATCTATAGTTCATAATGATTGTTCTATCGACACACAGGACGTTGAGCTCAAAAGAATAAAGATCTAGGGAAACTCTTTTAATATTTCAATGGGAACAAGTTCGAACCATTTTTCCTAATCTGTTATATGAATATGAACTTACAATTGTATTTCTAAACACAGTGTATTTCATTTTTTAAAAGTTGAACGTCAATCACAAACTTAAATATTTTAATACTTATTTTTACGCAAATTGTATACTTTTGAGATATATATTAGATATCTTTCAAATCGTTCCAAAAAATTAAAGATACCTTACACACAAGAAAAATATTTAAATAAGAACCCTCTAACCTTTACTTCTCAGAACTCCTGAATCCCTTAGAATCTAATGTTGATAAACGCAAAGGCAAACTAAATCAGCTGAATAAAACAAGACAAGAAAACTAAGGACAAATGAACTAGCAATATCAGGACAAGCCACAAATCATGTTAGATGCTGGATATATGTTGTATATACAGTATATAGGTGTGACACATGTATGCTTCAAAATTATTTTACATCAGTTAGTATCTGACGAAAATAGGGTTATTTCTTAGGTCATTGGAGGAAATGTACTCTGAACGAGGGAAGGGTCAGGAGTCATTAAAGTAAGGCAAATGAGGTAAAAAGAAACTATATCAAAGCTGATTGGTGCATTTTGCAATAAGGAAGGAGGCATTACCATAATTGAGCATGTCATCACTCCCATCCCCTTTTACCAAAAAAAAAAAAAAATGATGCAAGTATGAACTTTGAAAAAAGTATCAGGTTATTCAGAATTCCTGGAAACTTTAGAAATGGCATGCAGTAGGCTATTGTCAGTAAAATGTCTATACATATGATGCATTTAACTGTTCATATAACAGTGATATGGGATCTAGGAGGGGTGCCAGGGATTTTCACCCCCCATTCCTTTTGATTTTTTGTTGTTGAAATCAAGTACAAATCAGAAGAAAATTAGTCTGACCAACCTCACCTTCCCTTTTCCAGGTAGAAACCCACGTATCCACCTTTCAAAAATTAGATAGAATGGTTTACCCCACTCCCCCCTCCCCCTTCCCCGAGACCCTTTATTTAGACTTTGGCAGGTAAGGAGAATGCTTACCTGAAGCATACATTTGTTCCGAGTTAAGATTAGACTGTAAGATATGTATATACAGATATAAAAGATGAGTTAGTATATAGTATGATATGATATATATATTGGGCAGCCATTTTGTTAATTTGTCAGGTTCAGCCAGATGTTTTAATCAATGGCATTTTAATGAGCCTGCCATGCATCCATCCTCCATTTTGGTTAGAACCGGGTATATATGTATATATTTGAAATATATATATCAGCTACTATATAACTTGATCGCCATGCATCAATTTTTTGCATTTTGCATTAAATTTTTTACGCTGTTTGTAGCTTTTAAAGCCATTCATCATAGAAATGCATTTATTTAACATGTTGTAATAAATTACATGAAATGTAAATCAGGTTTTGAATAATTAGAAGCAAATGGAAAGATCCAGCAAAAGTTGACTTCATGAGACAACTTATTACCAAATCTTACTTATTAATGTGCATTTCATATGCATAATTTATTGGTACTGTGTGTCCAACAATCTCAGGAATGCCATTTTACTTTTAAATTCCTGTTTAAACTACAAACAGGAAAACAAAGAATGTTAAATATTTTTAATTTTTTAAATATTCTTTTTAATATTTATCAACTTTGATTGCATGTACGTAATTAATAGAAATTCCCTTTTCATCTCTTCTATTGTAAAATTATCCTTGTCATGAGTGTTCTTTTTATAAGCAAATCAAGTCAGTAGTCCATAAGATGACATCAGCATGTATTGATTGCAAAGTGTTTCTAACTTTTGATGGTTTGTGAATTCTTCGATACTTTTTTTTCAAGATTTTCATCAACAACTTTAAATTTCATAAAAAATACTATTCCTTTTAAGTGGGACACACAGTATATAACTATTGTTGATTCAGTATCTCTTGTGGAGTACCAATATTCGTAGATATATGAATAAACCACAAAAATAATATCCTCTAACCATGAAAACTGGTATCCACAAAATAAATGAATCCACAGTCATTAATAAAAAATATTATAGATACTGCCTATCTGTAATACATGTACTGACAAAAATACTAAAAGAATCTAATACTATACATTACTTTTTAAATATAATCCAAAATGAGGCTTCAAATCATATGCTTTTTTTTTCTTCTCTTTTTTCACTTTCTGATGCACACAAATTGAGCTTAATGTAATTTTTTAAAGAAATTTGTTTACACTCATTTGTAATTTAAAATTTTAAACATTAAATATTACATAATCATAAATAAGATTTGATTTTCAACATCTATTAAAGAAGTAGTGACTGTCCCCTTTGAGCATCTAAAATCATTGTTTTTATCATTCATTCCTTTCACATGAATCAATTTGTAACAGGTTGAATGAGATGCAAATAATATTACACTTTACAATAATCAAATTTCTTCATTAAATTATAATTTGCATGTGCATAATGTTAAAATTGATTTTCATGAATATGCATGAAATATTTGCCACTGGATATAAATCAAAAACAACAATCAATCAATCTTAAGGCTGATTTGACAGTCAAACATGAAAGCACAAAGAGAACAGGCCCTATAAAAACTGAATTCTCAAAGTAAATCCTTGCTGACAACTGAATTTTTACATACAAAGATATTATTGTCTTTTGTATAGAAATCTTACCTATTTCATTTGGCTTTGGGATTGAGGCACTTCTCATCAGTTTTTCTGGTGGAATGTGGTACTGTGATGCTACAAGTTTTGGAATTGCTTCTGTGTCTTCCAAGAATATCTGCATTCTAATGAAGGGTTCTCTCCCCTTTTGTGTGAGCATGTGCCAAGGTTTTGGCCTAGCAAGCAGATCACTTACGCTCCCCTGAGAGAGCCCCAGTACACTTTCTCCAAACAATCTTTGGCTGATTGAGTACTGACTCAATGTTTCTTTGACCTGTTTGACCAGGTCATCAGTGTTTATGGTGGCGTAACTATCAAACTGTTCTTGTGTAATAGCAGGCAGAACTGCCCGGAGTGGTTTAGCAGCTGCCATTCCCATGTGTGGCCTTGACATTAAGGAATTGGCAATGTTCTGCATTCTTTGTAAAGGTGATACACACTCAGGGGCCGAATAAGGGGCAAACTGGTTGTTTTCAAAACCATTAGCATGGCCATTAACCTTTGGCTGAACGATGAAAAAGGCACTACCAGATGGATGAGCAGTTTCTGTTGAAGGAGATTTGTCTGAACCTCCCGATGTTGGTGTTGTAGGTGCTGAGCTGCCATGCTTACTCAAGTCGATTGGGCCATTGTTGTTGTTTATGGATAAATTCAATGTATCTTCTACTGTACTGTCTGGTGGTTCCATTTTAATCGAATTCCTGTCGGGAGATGATCTTGCTCGTCTAATCTCGCCAGGCTCTGTCTGTTCTTGGATGTGAACTTTCCGTGCCATCTGTTGTAGTTCTCTCTGATACATTGAACTTGCTGCCATATTTCCTGCATTTTCTGCCGCCTGGGCTAACTTCATTAACTCTTGGCGATAAATTCTCTCTACCATTTCTCTAGAATCTCTGCCATTACCATTAATGTTATTTCTAAGGCTATTTTCACTGTCCCTGTGACCAGTAGGGCTGAGATTGGAGTCTGATTGACTGTAAGGTGTACCTGTTGGTGATGCCAGAGGATGATGATGACCGGACATCATGGCTAGTCGTGACATTTCTTGTTTATATATACTGCTGACCATGGCATGAGCAACTTGTTGCTGAAAGATAAAAAAAATATGCTTATTTACACAAAACCTCATTTTTTAATTCACTTTTGAATATTTTTGCATTATTTAATGAAGGCTGTGACTATTTTTAGCATTTGTGCAAGTTGCAGTGACATGTTAACAAAGAATATGAATTAAAAGAGAAATGGGCTGTATATCAATGAGACAGCAACCTGAAGACACAAAAGACCAAAAGACTTTAAGAGGTCAAGAAGTAATTCCTACTTTAACAATTCATTTATTGAGAATTAATGCATCTAGAAATTAACATATAAGAGAGCATCCTCATTCCAAATACTATTACAATCTGCCATTTCGTGATGTTTGCCCTGTATCATTTTATCAATTTATTCCAAATATCAGGTAGAATCAGCCATTTCATAACATTAACCCTGTATTATATCATTAATTTATCCACAAGGTCATTCTCTGCCTTTCTTTGTGTCAGAATATTGTCATACATTGTAATATATATATATATGAAAGCATGGACACTCTATAATTTTTCAACTAATAGTTGTGAAGAGAATACTGTCTCAACCCTTAAGTTATATATCCAGGAAGGTGGTAAAAGGTAATTTTTGTGCGATATCTTTCTCCATTTTGAATTTCACTTTTTTGTGCCTAAAAGTTGCACTGTTTAAAGATATTTGTATTTAATCTATTTTTGTGGAATTAGTATTAAAATCTCTGTTCAAATACAGTAATCATGGAAATTTTCGAACAGGGGTTAAATATCTTTCTTAATTTTATTTATCACATATGTACGAAAAAGTCCCCCATACTAATAATTTGTATAAAACAATGATATTGATATAAGGTTAAACTTATCAATCAATAATCAAAGTGAACTCCCTCCCCCACCCCCAAAAAAAAAATTAAAGAAAATCGTGAAAAATAATAAACCTTGAAATATCAATGCTTACAGTAGTTGAAATATCATAGTTTAAATTTTATATTTTATAACTTAACATGAAAAGATTTATTGAATAGTAATTCAACAGATGAGTAGATAAAATGCTGTTTCCCTATAAATTTGATAAGGATGTTCGCTATTAAAATTTAAAATAACAACATCTTTTTTAGATTTTATGTACCAAAACTGAAATCAATAAAAAAATGCTTGTTTAGAAAATTAACGCATGCTATATAAAAAATCACTTTTTTAAAACAAACATCTTTTTTCTTCAGATTTCACAGGAATTGCATGAAACTAAATATAAAGGTGAAATGAGAGTCTGGAGAGGATAACAAAAAACTTAAAAATAGTTTGCAAAGGAGTACTAATGTCTTTTTATACATAAATGTTCAAAATATAAATAAACATGTAGGGTTTGTTTGGTATAAATAATTAGTGCACTACAGTATGTAGACAAAAGTCATTCTTGTTTTTTTTTATTTAAGTTCTTTTTCATTCTATGTCATTTATGTTTTTGTTATAAACTGATAAATTTCCCCCAGAAAATTTGAAGCTAATATTTTCTCTTATTTTCATTAAATCATCATGTATGTTATGGTTTTTAATGGTTACTGTCAAATATTTCCTTTTGAATTTTTTTATTTTCATGAATTCATAGTGTAATTACAAACTTAAGTTTTGATGTTACACTATTACTGTACATATAGTAACTTGTGATAACAACACAGTAAGTTAGTAAGTTAATGTTTAACCTGTGAATTCTAAATAGCACTAATTTATACTAAACTATGAAAATTTGATATTTTTAAAGAGAAAACTGTAATAATATTTCTGAGCTTAATAATGATAATGTCATGAAAATCAGTTGGAAAATGAGTTCAAAGAAATTTTTTCCAAACTTAAAAATTTGTATAGAATAATAGACAAAGTATGGGAAAGGAATGACTTTTATCAACATACTATACAGGGAAAACATTCGAGGGGTCACTAAATACTTCTGTGACGAGCGAACATCCTTACGTGTTGATATGCCGAAACTGGTACCTGTTCCATGGCTTTCTTAATCTGCATGGCCTGTTGTGCTTCGTTCAGAATTTGAGCAATTCTTTCTTCAGTGTGAGCATCTTCTCTCTGTACACTGGATACCAGTGGCTGGGAACCTGTGAAGAGGACAGGAGGATAGGAGTTATTCACCCCTGGTATGCTGATTGGAGGATAAGTACTATTCGCCCCTGGTATGCTGACTGCCCTGTTTACTGAAAAGTAAAATTGGGCCAAATCATATGGGTTCTTTTGTCTCCCTTTTGAATCAAAAGTTAATTTAATTAAATGATTGCTTTACTTTTATAACTATTTGTCAGAAAAGTTGTAACGAAAACAATTCTTTTGAAATACAATCTGTTGTCTTATTATCAAAATATTTTCTTTATTATTTTTAAAATCATAAAAAAAAAAAATTGCATCTTTCCAAATAAAAAATATACATTATAATCCAGATTAAATAGGTGTTTTCTTCTTTAAATTTTTCTTAACGAAATGAAAGCACATGAGTTTTTAATGCTATTTATTTTATAAAAACAATTTTCAAAGCAGCTTGTGCTAAAATGCAATCAGTTGGCATTTGAAAAAGTTAATTACATTTTTTTGACATTGAGATACAAATTTTTCACTGAAATATGGGAATCAGAAGAATTTGAATTTAAAAATGATTCAATAATAAAAAATAAGAGGAATCCGTTTTGTTTCTGGCGTAAAGTCATGAAAATTTTTGTTGACTTATATGATGACCATTCAAATCCAAATTTCGAAAACAATAAAAAGTTTATAAATTTCAACACAGGAAAAGAACAAACAGCCTCATATGGAATAAATAAGAATTGGGCAAGCAACACAGTCCCAGGAATTAGAGGAGACAAGGTATAAAACCAAAGCCAATATGGCAGCCAGCATACAAAAAGCAATGCATTCTGGGTATATAATATAAATAATGAGAAAATGACATTGATAAATGCTAAATAGATAATATATATATATATAAAAAAAATAATCTGGGCTTTTCCATTGAAATTTATGTACAAGATTCAGTTAACTTTTCTGTTTTAATATATATCTTTTTTCGTTGCCAAATATAAAATGCTGCTTTTAATGGAAAAGCCCTGATTCTGAATAAAATATTTCCATTACTATATATGCAAATGTAATAGATTTGATAATTTTCAAAACTGTTAAATGATAATTCAAATGTTTTTCTAAATGACAATCCCATTCCTTTGAAGAAATATCTGGTGTTTGACAATTGAAAACATTTGCTAAAATCATGTTCACTGTACTTTTAAAGAATGAGTATCATAAGTTCATGTGAACTGAAGATTTATTTTTAACCAAGGAAATATTTCATTTAACAAATAACATGAAATGGAATATATTACAGTTTTAGAAAGGCATGATGTTTCAAATTTTTATAGTCAAGCGAACAAAAATGTCTCATGCAGTTATACAATTCTATAATTGTTTTCTCTCGTATCTTTTTAACTTGTGTGCTTTAAAAAATGAAACAAATACACGAGGCAAATGTACAAATATTTAAACCAATGAAACGACAAATTTTCAAAGGTACAAGCAGTACAAAGTATATAAAGCATTCTTGATTATGCAAATGATGTCTTACCTTTTTTAGGAGATATGGCTTTTAGCGCCACAATATTCCTTTCATCTGTGGCCCAAGCGTACATTTTCCTGTAGGATTCTCTCCCCTTTTCGGTCAGTTTATCCCACGACTTTGGCTTTGATAATAATTCACTAACAGTTCCTTGAGATAGTCCTAGGACATGCTTAGCAAAAAGTCTCTGTCCTATATTATGGATACTTAAAAGTTCACGCACAGTTTTTGCTACAAGAACCGTATCTAATCCTTGAGAATTATTTGGGTCCACCTTGATGGCACCAAGGTTCATACCCATAAAGTTTGCCATAAAATGGCTATTGGCAAATTGATAAAAGGGTGATGGAAATGGAGGCATATGTATAGCTTCGTTGGTTGATACACTTGACTGTGTTTCCATTGGTGGTCTCGGAGAAGTTTTCTCTTCTGACTCCGCTTCACAGGTGTCTTTACTGCTGACGGGTGAGGGAGGGGTTTCTGGTGATGAAGGTCTTATGTCTGGAGATTTTTGCTCCTCTCTCTCTTCACTGTGATATGTAGCTGCTATTTCTTCTCCAAGCATGGTCGCGAAGGCTTCCGTGTTTTCGGAAAGTGCCGGAGTCGATGAATCTCCTGTAAGAAAGGTGCATATGCACATGAAAGAGTTTTTTTTAACTCTCAAACAAGGACGTGTAAAAAAGTTGCCATTTCCAACAGAATGTCACAGAACCATGCAACAAATATCATTAACATTCTCAAAACATAAACATATTAAACAATTAAGGGTATACATCTTTCCAAGCCCTTTCATAAGCATAAACACCTTTCTTAAATTCTGGGATCCTGATATAATTTATAACAAAGAATATAATAGCTAATTTTTTGGGGGGAGGAGGCTGACTATTTTAAATGCTGATTTATTGGAATTTCCTCTTCCTGAAAATGTCTCGAATGAAAAATATGGTATTTGAAACTCATTTTCAATGTTTAATATTAAATTCTATGTAAAGGGAGTGTAAAAATATAGAAAGTAAATAGTAAAGATTCTGAATTTCTTGGTGTACTTCAGTCAGTGTGTTTAAGGTAGATTATAAATTTCTTAGTGTACTAAAGTCAGTGTATCTTAAGGTTTACCTTTAAGAATGTAATGATAAAGTAAATTATTTCCTGAAATTTTTTTGAAGTGCCTAGTAACCATGTTAGTATCAAAACATCACACAAACACTAGTTATTGGAAAGCAGTGATGTCAAATGGACACAAAAGGAAAGGTAACTCTTACTCTGATTCAACATAAATATCAGTGTATATTGAAATACAATTCTTGAATATCAATGAATTCAAAGATAGGTAACTCTTCAAGTAACTCTAACAAAAAGGTAGAAAATTCAACACAAAGCACAAGAATGTTGTAATTTTGAAATGGATAAAGTCACAAAATGATGAAGTGAAGAACACATTAAAAAAAATATGTAAAATATTGGTTATCCTAGCATGATATCCTTATCATAACTACATATGTTACATGTAATTAATTTACTCAATTGCAGGATCTTTTTTCACAAATTTCTAATCAAAAAGTGACAATGCTCTGCATTTAAGAATCATTTAAAAGTTTTTGTCACTAAAATTGCATTACAAATTCATATGATTTTACATCAATTTCATCATTCAAACATTGTTGTAAATTAAATTATAAATAAACTAAAAGTAATTGATAAAGATATGCTAAATTTAAAAAAATTAAAATTTTTAAATTTGTGAAAAAATATATAATTTCACAGATAAAGGAATATTCAGGTTTAATACCAGAAGTCTGTAATGCACACAATGATTTGAAAACAATTTTTAAGATGTAAATTTGTTGTAAATCAATTCAGTTCAAGGAAAGGTAATCCAATTGATAGGTCAGACTATAAATAACTTGAACAAGGAAGTGAAATGCTACCACTAACTAACCCGTTGCCATCTTACCTGATATTTCACTGTTGGAGACCTTCAATGTGGTATTCTCTGACTGTAATGCTCGGTTCTTCTCTAATAATAGAGTCTCTAATGATTTAGATTTAGCATCTTCCTCTCCATTACCACCAAACTCCATTGACTTTACTACACTAAAACGTAACAATATATTGCAATACATTATATTTGGGATTTTCAAATATTTTGGCCTCCAGCATTAATGAAGAGCCATTAGTTGTCGAGGTGTGCATCTACTAAAGTAAGTTGGTACCATAAATGTCATTATAGTTGTCAGTTAATGGTGGGATGCATTTTTACTTGTTTTCCATCTCTTATTTGCTTTATTCTTCAAAGAAAATTTATTGTGAAAGTACTTCTATGCATTTTATAGCTGACTATACAGTATGGGTTTTTGTCATTGTTGAAGGCCATATGGTGGCCTATAACTACTTTCTACCACTTCATTTTAACTCTGTTGGGAAGTCGTTTCAATGGCAATCATACCACATCTCCTCATTTTTATATGTATATAATTTTTTGTGGTTTGTGGATTATCTGCTAGTTTGTGCATCTGTTGAACATAATTATCCCAAAGTCTTGTAATGCTACACATATTGAAATCAACTGCTAAAATTCTTTGAAAGAATATCATTGATAATACTGCCACTCACTATTGAGTTAATTATCTTAAACCATAAATTCTTTTTCTTGGGCTTTTTATTTCTTACTATACAGTATTGGCTTAGTTCATGGTTGATGGCCTTACAGTGTGACCTGCACAGTTGTTTAAATCCTTGTCATTTGACCTTTTGGTGGATAGTTGTTTCAAAGGCAATCTTGCCAATTTCCTATTGTTTTTTTTTTTAATTTATCAAAGAATTAAAGTGAAACCTCTCAATATTTATTTTTTTCTAATGCCACGTTTAGTTATATATCTGCATCAAGTAAATATTACCCTTTATCTCAAACTTTCAAATCTTGTTTGACTATTTTTAAGATACATTTTCTATAAACTTGAATTGAATAGAATTATAAATATATACTTGAGTTCTCTTTTAATTTCTTCATAATCCTGTTGTGTTTTGATTTTTTCTTCCAGATATTTGAAGGCTTGATTTTTCACAGTAAGTTCCTCCTCTAAATGAGCTACCTGTAAAACGTAAACACATATATCATAAAACATATTTTCCTTAACAGAGCACATGCTTGTGAAAATAATTTTTTTAGTTTAAGTTTTTTTTTTACATTCTTCTGTGTCCATGTCTCCCTATGACTGACAAGAACTGCTTATCTTTTCCTGGCACCAGAGTTTAACTATGGTCTTTTGTAAGGTTTGTGTGGCTCAATTGTAAATTTTCTGTGAAGTGTTTTTTGGGACTGTTGTTTTTTGGTTAATCTGTTTCTTTTGGACATGGTGTTGTCTTAATTCCACTTATGGGTTTTTTATAATAGCCAGACCCCTTTTTTAAGGTTTCTCTCCCTTTTTTCTTTATTAAATATTAACATATCTAGATCCAACAAGAAAGGTGTCAAAAATATGAATCATTTTCAGTTCAATACATACAAATCAATTTGCCACTGACAAGACCACAATTAATGAATGTAAATAAAAGTAATGATAAACTACTAAGGAAGCTCATAAAAAATAACTATATATGCATTTAATGTAAGTAATCGTGGTATTCTAATATCAAATATTGATTTACAATTGCAGAATCCATTATAATAAAATTTGATGACAAGAAGTGTGACAAAATTGCATTTAAAATTAATTACTGTCAATTTGAAGGAATCGTCAAGGGATCGTTTCTGGGTTTATTGATACATTAAAATCAATATGCCAATTGCAACGTTTTTCAATACCGATCGACCTGTGATCGCAAAAGCTGGTGAAATTTACGCCAGCTGTCAATAATTGATTGAAATTAACATGGTTTCCAAGGCAACCACTTTTAAAGATTGTAACATTTCAGAAATCTATTTCTAACTGAAAATATCGAGACAACAAAAGTATTGTATTTAAGACAAAAAAATCAATACGTTCAGTTCATTGATTAACGATAGCCAATCTGATATCATGCAGATAAAGAGGCCCAGGGGAGAGGGTATATACAAAAGACATTGTTATATTAGAACTTCAGATAGGGAGTGTTTCATAAAATTCATTCTAATTTTATACACTAACAAATTTGACCCATTTTTGGGGATAGCCACTCTTTCATTTTAGTCTTAAGGGATATCAGATACCTCTTCTCCACTCTGTTGGATAAATGATATTTCAATCTTTTGGATATAAGATTCCATGAAATATGTTAAATTAACTTAATTACATTTATTTCCAGGGATATCTGATGTGAAACTTTTAGGGATACATGTATTGGGTACTCCCTAATGAAAGTTTTATTCCTATAACATTAATTAATTCATTTTATACCTGTGATGCAGTCGTCTCCCTCATTTTATTCAGGGATGCTTGCAATCTTTGCACATCATCTACAAGTTGAGAAATCTGAAATTCACAATAAAAAGGTATCTAAAATGTTATTCAATTTCATGCACTGGTGAGGCAAAAACATGATAGTATTGCAAAGAATTACTGAAAACTATCTTTAGTTCAGAAGAGTTTAATAGTATTGTTTATGATGATTGATGCTACATCCAATTTAGGGAAACTTCTATTCCCCCAATTTCTTTAATATACTTCACATAAATCAGTTCATTGAAACTATTATCATACGAAATATATCACTAAAATATAGTTGCAGTGACCTAGTTTGATGTATTTCTTCAAATACTATATCACTTCCAAACTTCATAATGTTTATAACAAGATTTGATTTCCCCCTGAGCCTTCCCCTTCCAAACCCCTGTTACCTCTTCTACATTTAAGTAGTATCTAGTTATTCCTTTTTCATGAATTTTATTTCAAGACTGAAAGTGAAAACCTTAAGTTTCTATCTATTTTCCTTGCCCACATTTAAATGTAGTAGCAGTGATCTATTTCTTACCTCTTTTTCCTTAGCTGCCAGTTCTACCTCCAAACCAGATCTCTGTAACATATCTATTGCCTTTTCCATGTCTGCAGATTTCTGTGTAGTGTCTCCCTCTCTCTGACTCTGGTTTACTGTCACCAACTGTTGCCTTAACTGTTCTGTTTGTCTTTCTGATCCAGCTGCTCTCTGTTGGAAAGAAACAAAGGCAAAATGTCATTCAAAGAAGTACTTCAATACATAATGCACACAATTTTTGCACAAAAAAATGTTACCAAGAAAATAAATCAATCTTTAGTGAGCTAGCTCTCAAATCTCTACTTAAAATCAATGAATAGAGTCTCCTTCATGCCTTAAACAACAGATATCCAACAAGAATTAAAAATTTTGTTCAGAAAGGAATAAATTGATGACAGACTGACAGACCAACAGACATGCTAATGGGTAAAAAATATTATGAACCTTTACAATTGCATTACATTGGGATATTATAACAAGTCTTTTTCCATTTATACACAACTTTTTATCCCTTTTCCCTAGATTTATAGAATTTTGTCTTTTACTTTTTTTTCTTACTCATTTTTTAAAAATCAAATGAGAGGGCCTCTACTTCTTTACTTTTTAATTTCATGTTTATCATAACAAAAAGCAGAATTATAATATTTACTAGACATGCTGGAGTTTGCTAGCATCAGTGTTTACAATAACATCTATTTTTCGTTTAAAAATAATCAAGTAATTTTGCCTCATGAATTTTCCTCTGGTTTCTTTAAAAAAACATTCATTCAAAATTGCAGCTAGATTTTAACCTAAGAGTTTAATGTAAAACATTCGATATAAAGCTCATCAAAATTCAATTAAACATTTGATAGTTGTTTTTTCCCCTTGCTGAAGTTAATTTTAAAGTCATTATTGATTTCCTTATAATAATATACGTTTTCAATATGTTACAATATCAGGATTACAATTATATTGATAGAAATATTTAACCTTCTCAATCAAAAATATATATATCCATTTTATTTCAATCAACCTGTTAAAAAGGCAGACAAAATGTGAACACAAGTTATGTTCTCACTGATCAAATTTAGCCTACGAAAAACATTTTAAGTGTTGCTTCATTTCTGAAGCATTTAGTCCCTGAAATTAAGATTGAATAACACAAAACTCAATAATTTTCAATCTTGATATTGGTTTTATTAATCAACAAATTGTACAGCAATATTTGTCGAGTATATTTTGATCTCACAATTTTTTCTATGCCAATTTGAAGGCTTGATGATAAGCTCGCACATTTAAAACCTGTACCCTTTTACCAGCTATCACTACATCAGAAACAATAGGATCTGACTTTTCCCGATTGCCATTTAAATAATTGTCTTATATTTTTGTCTGCAGTTCTAATTGCCATTGCACTACAAAGGATTATGCCATTGTGTACAGCAGATTATGCCATCATGTACATCACATTTTGATCTGTGTTACCTATTGCATGTGCAGTACCGATAGACGGTAATATTGTGTGAAACCAGATCTTTAATCAACATTTAGATAACAGTGCAGTCAACCATGTCATTTACCTTTGGATACAAAGCAATGTTGCGCTAAACAAGATCCTTGGTCATAATACCATTGTTATATCCAACTTAGCCATGCGGTGAAAATTCCTCCTTAAATTGTCTATACTTATTTTTTACTTCCATAGATTTCTTGAAAAAGTTTTTCCTCTGATTAATCATGCAGTAAGAGTTAATCATGAAAATCACTGTTTGCTTGTCCAAAAATATAATAAACTTTTCTCCTTTAATTTGCGCAAGTAAAATTATTACGGATCATCTTGTTTCACTTCTGATCTACACTTTTAAGTCATACAATGATATATTTAGTTCCAATTCACTCGTCTTTTATAAGCGAAAAAATTATAAATATCTTGAGTCTTCAAACAACAAACGACTCATCATCAACTTCATTATTTCAAATAAAATTTCCATTTGGAATCAATACGGAATAATTGCCGACCGTAAGTAATCGATCAGCGATCAATAAGACATTGATTACTTGTCAAACACCAGCAATCGTAATCAATTTCATTTTGCTTAATGATTGATTAATTGACAACATTTTCCAATCATCAACCAAAGAAATTCAAGCAATACACAACAAAATTCAGTTTTCTATGTATTGATTATTTTCTTTTGTTAGAATTTGTCAATAATTTTAATATATTGAATAACTCAATAATACATGCAACTACGATAATGTTATACTATATCATGATTTAAATAAAAGATTTACAAAATGTACTTAGAATTGATAACAAGGAAGGCAATGTCTTTTTCCTTTATAAACAATAAGGAAATAGATGATTATCAGAAATTATTACAATTAGAACATGGGATTTTTTAAACATCGATACAAGTGGGCTTTAATATGCATCAAATGATATTGTTTTTCTCTGAATTTTCAATATACTTCATAATAAAACTTAATTTACGATTTAACAATGCCCCACACATACAGTGACCACAATATATTTATTATCTACAAACAATGAAAATAAAAACCACAAAAATATATATATATATACTAACATTTTTTACTATAAAAAAATCTGATATTTTTGTTTTTTTCTGGTCAATATAATTCATTTGTAATTGTCATTTGATGATAGTCAAATGTCTGGATTTTACTTCAATAAAAATTACTTACTTACTTATTTACTTACTTATAAAATATTCATAAATTAAACAAAACACTCCATGTGAGGATTTTTGGATAAAGAAGAGTTCTTTGTCACTTTTATACTGGGGATGTGATAAGGCCATTTTTCAAACTTGAAAAAAAAGAGTGCAAAAATAGTTACACAACTTGTGTTATATTATCACATACAATTGTCTTCACAATAGCTGTACTTAACATAAACAATGATTTTTTTATGTAAAAATTGAATTATAAACTGTTATCACAGAGATATGTCTCGCCTTTTTGTAATTTTGATAATGCAAATGTTGAAATTAAAATAGCAATACTTTAACACCTAAGTTATGCAAATATTCAAAGTCGATGAACAATGACTGAAGGTACATGGCTAAACAATCTCCATGGAATGAGATGTGCCAATGCTAATACAACTGCATACCAAATACCATTGACTTATTATAAGTCGTTCCCTTTAAACAAACCTAAACACAAACATTAACTTGTAAACTATGTAAAAGTTTCAAAGTCAATGAACCACGATCAGGGGTAGGGCTATATAATCTCCATGGAAACGATACTTGCAAATGCCAATAAATTTGCATACCAAATATCATTGACTTAACATTAGCAGTTCATCTTAAACTGATCTAATCACAAACTAATACATGTAAACTAAGCAAAAGTTTCAAAGTAAATAGACCATGACTGAGGGGGCGGGGCCAAATATTCTCCATTGAAATGAGATGTGCTAATGCTTATACAACTGAACACCAATTAACATTGGCCTACCACTAATTGTTCCCCTTGAACTGACCTAATCACAAACTAATACATGTTAACTTAGCAAAATTTTCAAAGTCTATAGACCATGACTAAGGGGGCGGAGCCAAATAATCTCCATGGAAATGAGATATGCCAATGCTTATACAACTGCATACCAAATATCATTGACCTACCACTAGTGGTTCCCCATAAATTGACCTAATCACAAACTAATACATGTAAATTATGAAAAGTTTCAAAGTCAATAGACCTTGACTGAGGAGACGGGACCAAATAATCTCCATGGTAATGAGATGTGCCAATGCTAATACAACTGCATACCAAATATCATTGACCTACCACTAGTGGTTCACCATGAACTAGACCTAATCACAAACTAATACATTGTTGACGCCGCGGCCGCCGTTGACGCGGCCGCCGGAAATAGCATACCTATGTCTAGCTTTTTTACTACGTCAAGGCGAGACAAAAACTGCCATTTTGTGGTTTAAATATATGGATTTATTTTCAAAACCAGATATATTGACTATCCATAGAAGGCCGTAATATAAATAAACAAAAACTAAGAGATATTAATTTCATGAGGCAAAGTTAATATTTGCTGAAAGAATGGCCTAAGAATCTGTTATAGTCATTGAAATGAAGACTAGAGCTTACAAAACTACAAACCTCATTAGCTCTTTCAAGCTCAGACATCACCATCTCCATTTCATCAGACCTACAAGTAAAGAATACAATGTTATTATTATTAAGTCGTTTTTCATATCTCACTTGAAGTTATAATACACGTACAATGTAACTTAAATAGATAATCTGTCAAAATCAAAAGGGAGATAAATCTTAATTGAGTGCACACTTAACCTTTCAATTTTCATCCACAGTAAACTGCCTAATTATAGAATTTGAATGCAGAAATCATAAATATTCTATGGATATTACCTAATTACATATTGCATTTTGAAATGCAAAAGGGGTGTGGCTTTAGGGGGAGTGCTTTAAGAAGTTGTCAACCCTACATCTGTGGATAACATCAGCCTATTTTAGTCTTTTAAAATTCCCTCACTTTCAACAATTTGCAAGAAAATTAACCAATATAACATCAGGCATATAACCATCAGAAGTCATGAAAAAAACCATGTATTTTTAGGTAAAAACCAAGAGACCAAACTTACAGAATTACTACTCCTAGGGGGGTGTTAAACAATCCTTACTACTTGGGTATTTCACAGTCCACCCTAGCTTACACCTTTTTGGGCATTTCTATATTTCTTTTTATTTTAAGATATTTAATGTGATTCATAAATACACAATGTATCAACCAATACAAATCAATCATTCTATAATACATGGTGCAATTATGGCCAAAATGTCTTAATTTGAAACCAGTATGTTACAGGAGAATTAAGAATGACTATCATATTTAACCATGATCTATATAGTTAACTATTATATTTAACCATGATCTATATAGTTAACTATAATATTTAACCATGATCTATATAGTTAACTATAATATTTAACCATGATCTATATAGTTAACTATAATATTTAACCATGATCTATATAGTTAACTATAATATTTAACCATGATCTATATAGTTAACTATAATATTTAACCATGATCTATATAGTTAACTATAATATTCAAATGACTATTCTTCTTTCATGGCTATGTAAACAAAGAAGATTTTATCTTTTCAAGTATTTTACTTCAAAAATTATATCTTTGAATTAAATAAAAAAGGATTACAAAACGTTTTCTGTAAGTATCATCTTATATAAACAAATACGTAGAGAAAACAAAAACAAAATTTTGTAAAATTTTATTGGCATATTAGCATAGATTGATAAGGGAACGTGGTCAAATTAATCATGTTTGAAAAAGATCAATTGAGCAAAAACATTTATTTGACGCTATTCTAATTTTTATATGTTTGTCTGACAATACTTTACTCAAGATAAAAATTGTGAATGAATATGTGTGGTAAGGATAGATCATATTTTTATCACTGAAGAGGACATCATCAAGGTCGAGTTACCAATCATCCATAGATTTAGGGCATTTCCAAATTTATAACAACTCAGGCTATCAAAACAATATCAAAATTAATGACTTAATCCTTGAGCAATTGAACGAAACATCCTCTGTTTGTTAAAATAATAGAGCTCTCAAAATCATCGGACCTCCAGCAGTTGATTGTGACACAGACCAACTTAAAACATCATTCAAATTAATTGCCGGACCTTAAAATCAAAGGACAAATGGTTTAAGATCAATTGAAGATTTTGTGGTCTATGGACCTAATTAAACATGATGTATAGTCCCAAACTGATGCAAATCCTGTCCTGTCAATTGACTGAATAATCACCTACAGCAGTTTACAATACAAATGTATCAAACAATTTAAAAGTTGCCTCCCTTTTTTGGTATGTGAAGTTTAGCTTATATTACATAACACAATATAACAGGATACACATTTAAATATAAATAAAGATTTTTGGTTGATTGTACTTTTTTAAGAATTTTTTTTATAAAGTTCACAATAAACCAAATTAGTCACATTTACCAAGTTAATGTTAAGTTATGCAATTTATACATAAAAGTTATCATAAATTTGAAAAAATGTTCAATAAACCTGTATAGATCAGAACTATAAGAATGACCATTGCTAATTATTCATATGCATTACAAAAATGGCATAATATATTTGTAGAAACTACTTTCTTGTAAATTTCAACAATAATTAGCAAATTGCTTGCAAACAATTAGGGAATTTCCTTTAATTCCTTATTGAATATTTGTTCATGCCCTATTTGGACCAAGCATACTTACTTGTAAATTCTATTTTAAGAAATGGCATAATTAGCAAGTTAATATCATTAAAAATATAAAATGTAAAGTTTATTCCATGAAGCTAATTTTCTTTTTTCATACTATTTCATGCTCTTTTTCAGCTGTGTGTACTTGCTTGTAAATTTTAAAAATTCATTCAATGGAACTATTTCCCTTGAAATATTTAGTAATTGTATATTTGATCCAAATGTATTTGCTATTAAATTTCAACAATAATTAGACTAGCGTAAAAATGGCAAAATTTTAATCCATAAAGCTTATCTTATTTTTTCATACGATTTCAAGCTCTTTTTCAACTGAGTGTACTTGCTTGTTATTTGTACCAATTTATTCAGGTAGCCTACTGATGCATCAGTAATTTATGTTCATATTAATGTTGTGTAAATGATTGAAGTTATTGTTTTTTTTCTAAGTACCATTTAAACTAATCACTTGTCACAGTCCTAGCAATTAAAACAGTCCGACTATTTATCACCGGAGACCTTCTGAACTCTCTCTGTGGCATATGTCATATTCGTTCAAGCAAATCAGCTTGCGTTTACATCATCGGAAATATTTATTTGTGACTATAGGTGATTTTAATGTAGATTCGCCAGCAACATATATCCGGCTAATGACAGAATCATTAATAATCATACAACATCGGAAATCTTACATTTTTATACGAAAGTGAGGTTTTTCCACTTTTATGAATTGTTTTTATCTTTGACCAGAAATAGATACATGTATTTCTAAGAAGCATTAACCTGATTGATTTTTTTAATATATATATTATAATATTCATTGTACTTATTTTTTACTCAAAATATATACATGTATTTTTAGAGACAATTTATGCAATTGATTTTTAAAAAATGTAAATTTATCAATTTAACTTTTAAATTATAATCTTGATATATGAAAATCAATCATTTTCTTTCACACTGTTAAACTATCTTTAAGAGTAAAAAATATGCACCAGAAAAATACATTTCAACTTTTTAAGTTATTCGTGTTGTTAAGTAGCTGTCTCCCCATCATCTCATATTATTAGTATTTCAATAGTTTTTAAATTGGTGTATTTCAACAATTTTTAATTCTTAACATAAAGCCACAACTGTTCACATATTCTTACTCTAAAATTGCAGAAAGAGTAATTGCAATTCAGAAACAAACTTTCAAATTTTTTTCTGTATTGTTATTATCCTGATGACGGTGCCCTATAGGCACCAAAACACGTCGATGTCATTAAATTACTGCAGCAATCCCTTACATGTTGTTGTTATAACTGCTTTCAAACTTTAAAAAAGATAAATCTTCCCCCAAAAGGGGAGGGAAAAACCATTTAACAAACAAAAAATATAAATATCTAAATATTACAAAGAAGTATTGAACACATCAATGTAAATAAAAATCAAAAACAAATCCAGTTCTCTGCATAAAAAACAGTATTACAACATAATACTGTCTTTACAACATCAAAAAAGATTTTCTTTGTAACTTTCAATAAAACACACCATTAACAAAACAAAAACCAATATCATTACTAGTGAATTTACAACTTAAGACATGTAATCTGTATACAAAAAACACATTCTTTCATAAACTGGCGATAAAAACACAGAAAATGGCCCGGAAACTTCCCCTTGTTTTCAAATCAATACAGTTTAGTTACTAGTGTACATTTGGACTATGAGCTAATTAATTTTCTTTTTTGATCTGTAATTTAGCTTCGGAACACGAGCTAGCCCGCAGCAAGATGTCATCCACAATGGGTTGGGTGCTGAATGTACGATCTGCGATATAATTTCTGTCATTTACACAAATCAAAGTGATCACCGCGTGTCAACAGGCCAATAATAATCAATCGTTAGATATGTAGAAAACTTGTTAACGGTAGTATTATTGGTTTATATCAGATTTTTATGTTTTCCAAAGTGTATTGTTTTGTCAAAAATGGATATTGACAATATGGACATAGAAATTATAACTTTTATTGAGACATTTTACGTTCTTTGATCATTTTAGTTTTGATTTTTATTTCAGTTTCTGCTTTTTATTGCTTTTTCTATAAATAGATTTTACATGTCCAAATCTTGGATTTCCTAACCATTTTTTATAGACAACATTGAAACTGTTATATTTTATCATTTCTTGACCTATATGGTTTATTTCATATTTCATAGTAATGATTTAATTTATGTATTATTTCATGACAAGGTAAAACCAAATTTGTATTAGCTGCCTCTCCACCAAACAGACCATTTAGTAGAAAGACAAAAGACTAGTCAACTCACAGAAAGGAAGACCAATGTGAATCCTTTCTACAGACTTTTAACTCATGAGCTGGCAGGTTAAAATTCAGACCTACCATATCATCTAGAACAAACCTTGGTAGTTAATCATTCTGAATAGTATAGTGAAATATTTGCAACTGGACATAAAGCAGACATTAATGAATAAATATAGCTTTCCTGATCTTGTCTTATTTTAAGTTTTTTTTTACCATATCTATGAAAACTTTACTTATTGTCATTTTAAGTTCAATTTTATTCAAATTTTTATTTTTAAAATATGAAAATCTTGATAAATGTATCTCAGAATTTTTTATTCTTCATTTCATGAAAAACATTTTACAGATGTTTCATTTCCATTGATTTTTTAATTGATTACTATATTATCATTACATTTTATAAAGGTAATAACTACCATAAAATATCTATTTTATTACAATGACCATAACTTTTTTTTCATCCAACCTTTTTGTCATTTATCTCATTAGTACAATACACTAAAAGTTGACAGGAATCTCCCAAAATATTGGAAAGTACAGCAGACCAATCCAGCCCCTCCCCCTTTTTTCTTCCAAAGATACAGACATATAAAAAATGATAAACAACATATGGTTTGGTACAGGCACTGAAGTAAGTACTGCCCCACAGGAAAAAGCTATCCTCTCCAAATGGAATTTTACCTCATGTAAATTGTTTCGGAATACTAAATGGGCATGTTCATAAATTGACTTGAAAAGTATATAAATATAAATATATATGTAAATATACTGTTCCTTTGCTTTTTGTGTATTTTGCTTTGCATGTCCTGAATTTGTGTCATGGATGATACCCCTTATCCTTTCTTATCTATTACAATTATTTCCAAGAACCTAAATTTCTTGTTCTTATACAAAATTATTCCGTTAAAGTATTGCAGATTCTGTTTTCATGATGCATCAATTATAAAAAAATTTTAATCATGATAATATGTGTTTAAACTAATAATCCCTTTAAAAAATCAATTAATACTGAAACAATTTTTTTCTTAATTGTTACTTTTTTTTTAAAACACAAAGAAAGTTTTGTCTAAATGTAAAGATATTAATAAAGGTTGCAAAATAATCTATTAATTGTCAATATTAAAAATCAGTTGTCAATTTCAATAACAGACTTGTCAATCGTAACATAAAAAAATTATTAATTATTGCATATAACAGATAATATATTGATTTACATGGGAGATCATTTCTGTAAAACAAATGACCTATTATGGTCTGATCCCTGATTGAGACAAAATAAATCAAAAACTGGACAAGGGTAAGTCTGGTCAGTGAATACTGGACACAGAAAGATACAAGACCACCAGTCTGGACAATTTCCCTCCAGGAGATTGTGACCATAATTTGAATGACAACTTTATACTTTAAAGATAAAAATTTACATGAAAAATTATGTTTAAACATCAAAGTTACAATTAAGTCATTATAATCACCTGGTAAAACTCAGATGTCTGTTGACCGGTCAACGTTAAACTAAATCATGATTACCATTTACTACACATAACAATCATAAGACTGACAAGCAAGCAAGCAGCTATTCCAAATATTTAACAAACAATAATTTGTATCTTAAAATCTAAATCTTCTTATTAAATTAATAGAAGAATTCAACTTTCAACTGATTCAATAGTCATTTCAATTTCAAACAACATCATAAAGAAATTTGCAAGTGAGCAAAATTATCTAAATTTTGATTGGTCAACTTTTATATTCTAATTTGGGTTTTTTAAGTTACATCAAACCCTCTTTTACCCTTTTTAAACATAGCACAGTTTAAGGGCACAAAAGTATTGTGAACATCAAATAGGTTAAAAATGCAGCAGAGTTGGTGAAATCTTTTTTTCCCAAGTGGTCCTTGAAGAAAATTTGCTGACCCTCACTATTATTTTTATTGCAAAATATCAAAATTGTGTCGTTCCTGTACAAAATTTTGGTGGCCAAACCTTTCGACCACCAAACTCTGCCATTAAATGGTAGTCAATATTATATTTGCCATTAAACACAACTTACTTGGCAGTGGTAGCCTCGTCATACTTGGCCTTGACCTCAAACAACTCAGATTGGACATTTTCAAGTGCTGAAAAAAAGAAAGAAAAAAATCAACTTAAGGTAAATAATAAAAAAAAATTTGGTAAAAATCAAACCATTAATACAGTGGAACAATGCTATATTGCAATTGACCACTATTTGACCAGTAGGGAATACCGACTTGGATTCGTTTTTTTAATCTTATGGAATGCTTCAGTCCTCTAGTTGTCTCCTGGAAGTTGTTTATAAGTTATTCTGATTATTTGAGTTTTTATTTTTTTCAAAAACTAACAAAATAAAGTTTGAGTTTATACTTCATCTTGTATCAACTAATCTTGGCGGGGTGTAGAACTTTCTTTAAAGGCTTTATTAATATTTTTTTTATTTTTCTATACTCTATTAGATTTGCTGTTGTATCTGAAGTTTTTCCACCACCATGTAACCGTTTTTTTTTATATTCATACTTCCTGTTTAAAAATCGATAATTTTTACATATATATAAACAAGAAAAACAACAATCTGTGTCCTACCTTGACCAGAAACTTTAGCCTGATACAGGATGGTCAAAGACTAACAGACAAACAAAGAGATGACCTGACAGACGCACATTCCAGAAAACATAATGACGTCAACCATCAAAGGCAAAGAATCAAAAATTTCAGATGATGTGTTTTCAAAATAAATTTCAAAACTCTCTTCAACATGTCAAGCGCTTAAAGATGCATTTCAAAACTAAATTTCAAAGCGATAAATAATTTACATATATGGTAATAAGATGGCTGACACCTGTCAAAGAAACTGAATTTTGACACTGATTACAAGTGTTTTGAGATCTATGAAATTGACGTAATTGATTTAAAATGAACATGTTGCTGTCATTACAAGTATATCAACAGATGCAAGCTAATTACATGGAATTATTTAAAACCAATATATGTCAATTTGAGGAGAGGGTGGGAAACCAAATGTATTTTTATAGCACTGAAATGCACAGACATGAACTTTTAAAAAGGTCAGAGCACTCTTTGTGATATAATATCATACAGTTAACAAAAATATGAATAAAAGGTGATATTGGCTCAAAGATCAACGTAAAAACATAAAAAAAAGCACAAAAATCATATACATGTACATGTTTATGTGACAGGGGTTTTAAACTTTTTTTAACACTTTTATCCTTATATGGTAGGGGTGAGCAGTTGAGACAATCAGTACTTAAATATTTTTTTAATAACAAAAAATACATATCCTTTCATATTTTTTTGACCAAAAAAATACCTATTGCTATCATAATTACGCTATTTAATGGAGATATACATAGATTTGATAATTATATAGACTGATGCATTTACAATTGTTGGTTACTATAGTCTCATTTGTGAAAAAAAAACAACAGACATCAGATTTGTTTCAGATACTTAAGATTTAATCTTCATATTAATTTGTTAGCCTTATCATATATCATGAAGCAGGAAATAGTGACCTATTACATTGGCTCATCCCTATTACTCTTTCATAGTAAGTTGTCTACCGAGTTGTGATTATGTACTTGTGAGATGATGCTGGACATTGAAACAAAGAATACAAGAAATATTTAGAAAAAAATTTTTGTTTCACGTATTGCACTGAATGAACAAACAATAGTTATGTATTAGAATTTTCTTGAATGTCGTTTTAATAATTCAACCTAATAGCCTTGCACCATAAATTATTTCAGGGACAAAAACAATTGTTGTTCATTATAATGCACATCTGACTAACAAAATACTTGTAAAATAGTCATTAGTCCAAAACTCCATCTTATAAAGTATTCTTGATTAATAGTACCAATCAAAATTATGAAACAAAGGAATTACATTATGTCTTCATATGTAAATTAAGGGGAGGAGTTTAAAATAAGATTTATGCAAATTAGGTCCTAAACAACATCCTTTTGATAATTAATCAGCTTTTTTCAAAGAAAATGACTGGTTAATAAACAGGAACATCAATTTTTCTTTTTAAACGATACGTCTAAGATGACTTTTCCTGGATCCTTAATCAAATATTTTTTACCCATTAGGAAATAACAATACTGGTACCATGCACCAGAAATTTACTGTCGAAGACTCAATCGAATGCCTTTTTAAGATGTTTTATCATGGACCCTGTCAAAATTTGGTTTTACACAATCAAAGGTACAAAAATATAAAGGACCTGAGCATCTGTTCATGAATAATATAAAATAAAGAGATGTGGTATGATTTTCAAGGAGACAACTATCCACCAGAGACTGAATGATATATATATGATAGCAAATAGGTCATCACCCGGCCTTCAACAATGAGCAAAACCACTAGGGGGTGTTTAGCAACCTTGACTACCTATGAGGGTCTCGCAAGGTCAGTAACAAAACCAATACCACATAGCAAGCTATAATAGCCCCAACATGACAAAATTTAAAACAATTCAAACAAGAAAACCAATGGCCTGATTCATACACATGTACAAAACAACAAAAGAAATACAAATATGATATACTACAACAGACGATCATATTTTTCCAGGTTAAACTAGAGTCTACAGAACTGCAATAATGGCTGAGCCAAAACAGACCATGTTCATCTGAAATGGCTGCAATCTGTAACATGTACCTATATAATTTGCAGTAGCCAATCGTTTATTGTCATATATTTTTTTTATCTAAACACTGGTAATGAAAATAAATACACAACCACTAATATAAATATATTGTTTGATTTTAAACCTTTCAAAAGGTCAGTTATCATGCAGAAATAAATTGGTATAAAAAATAGAAGATGTGGTATGATTTCCAATAAAACAACTCTTCACCAGAGACCAAATGACGTAGAAGTTAGCAACTTAAGGTCATCTTGCGGCTTCAACATTGAGCAAAACCTGTTCAGTAAGACCACAAAATTTTTATCGATTCAATTAAACAAAAGTCTGTTTGATTAAATGAAGTTCATGTTTTTCAGTCATCTGTCAATAGTTCATAGTTCAATTTTTCAAATTTCATAAAAATATACAGATAAGAGAACAAAACTCAATTGTTATTTTAAAAAGGTAAATACAAGAAGATAATGGTCCTGAACATGCATGAAATATTTGCCACTGGACATTATGCAACCAACAACCAATCAATACAAAAAGATAACTAGATTATCAGTCCTACCATCAAATGGCTTTTAGTAAATACAAAAGATTGTTTTCTAAAATATAAAAATAATCAAATCCTAATTTAACTTCCTACTGGTACACTGTCTCACCTGGTTCCCTAAAACCTGCTTAACATTCCTCTTAAAGCAGACAGAAGATGAATCAAAGATTTATCAATTCCCGGATTTGTTAGAAAAATCCTACGATACATATATATGTTCAAATCAAAACAGGAACTTGCTAATCGGTTGTTAAAATGGTAGGGGTCATAATGCATCCGGAACATTGATTTGTCATTTGAAAACTAAATGACGATATTAAGTAATTATTCATCATTTTAGGGCCAATTTTGATCGAAACCAAAATGTCAACAGTTAATAAAATCAATATCCTAAACAGTATTTCACTCCCGTAATTGATTTCATTAATTTGATTCAATTTGTTCACAGATGTTTTTGAGAGGTGCCTCAGTAACATTGGAAGATATGAACTATCAATGAAGATTTCTCCCTCAAAGTGTAAAACAAAAACAAAAGACTTAAGTCTACAATAAAGCCTTAACAGCTAGATAAATCCAAATACAGTACATTACCAGCAGTTTACTGACAGTATGTATTTTGTTACATCCCAAGGGTGTATGTTAATAAATTGTGCTATCAAAACTGACTTTATGAAAGCATACCAAACACGGAACCTCTTTTAAACTTTACATTGTTTATTTTTCTGCATGAAGTATTGCATCTGTTGTTTTTTTCAATTCATTTTTAAGGTTTCAACACTATATCCTCTTCTTGAAAAAGTTAGCTGCGTGTTATGCTCAGTTAGCTGTGTGTTATGCTCAGTTATATTTTATTTATCTTTTTTATCTGTTCAGAGAAGATAACTGATTTATATTGTTTTAATGCAAAATTCTCCATAATATTTAAACTTTTACAAACCAGCAAGTGAAAAGGGACTGAAACAAGTTTCTATTGCTTGTGCTTTATCCACTAAAATCAAGAGTTTATCAAAAAATTGCTTACATCCACTTCATTTGAACTTTGGTGGATAGTTGTCTTACTTGCAATCATACCAAATCTCCTTATTTTTATATCAACTAAAATTATAAGCTTTTTTAATACATGTATATAACTTACCCAGTACCAGTGAAAGGGAATTGTCACGGTATGGACACATTCATATTTTTAAATTAAATTACTTTATTTAGCACTTATTTAACAACTGCTTATCAGTCAAATTGAATGAAAACAGACAAACTGGCATTAGGTTATACCTTAATATGACTATTTTGAATGAAGCATCATAATCTTAAATATTTTATAATTTTTTCTACCATCTAGCTTTAAATTTCTTCATTTTACATTAACTGACAAAATCAAAAGAATGAAAGCAAAAATAAAAAAAAAATATGTATTCAATAAAATTAGTTTTTATTTCTTTTGAAATGGTTTAGAAGAAACAAATACTTAACAGTCTTATGTGTATTTATTTATAGTAATTGCATAAATTAGGTGACCAGTGCAGAAGTATCCAACAGAAACATTTGCATGTGTCACTCAAAAAAATTTCATAAATAAAACCTGCGTTCATCTTTTAAGTTTTTAACCCTTTAGACTTATTTCTTGCAAGTTTGGAAAACCATCTCATTCAAATTTCCTTGAAAGGTAACTTTCGGAAATATTAGAAATATCGATTTTAATTATTTTGTTTTATTTAAAGAGGTTTGGTCAGTTTTAACATTAGTTTCTAATTATTGAGATGTTAACAATTTTTGTCTAGAATTTTCATAAGTTTATAAGATATCAAAGCAATGTTATAGTTGGCAATCATACCACATCTTCTAATTTTTATATTAATAGAAACTTTTAATTTTAATCAATGAATATAATTCCTTTTAGTTTTTCATATTAAACAAGTTCATCTTCATTGCAACTTGTCTAAAGAACATTTATTTGAAGCGTACAACAAAATATCAGTTTAGAAAAAGCAAAACGATTGACTGGAATCAATTAATACGTGTCATATGTTCTATTCGTTAAATTTTCCACAAAACATCAGAATAAAAATACAATAACATTTTTGGTATATTATATCAAATAAGAAGAGTTTTAGTCTACATAAACTTAAATTTTTGAATACATTTATAAACAAAGAAGCCATGTTAATTCTTTCAAGAAAAATGTATTTTTGCAGATATATAAGATGTAGATTACACACAAAAACTAACAAAATATGCATTTTTCAGATATACAAGACATAGATTTCACAAAAAACTAACTCTGAAATAAAACAAATGCACAAAATCATCATATCCAATTATTTAAATCTTTCTTTCAATTATATAAATTCAAGTTTCAAACAAATAGATAAGAAGGTGGGATTTAAATAAAAAATTTCAAATGCTGAATATCACTTTTGTTATCATACTGAAAAGATAACTGTTCATTTTTTTTGTTTTAATTTATAAAAGTTGAAAGCTCGCACAAAAGCTGAGGTTTGTGGTCAATGAAAACATTTTACCGACTCGCCACAATAGATTACCTGCATGAAGGGTGGTCACACGCTGTTCTGCTTCTCCAAGTTTTTTTGCAACAGCTAACTGTGTTTCTTGCAAATATCTCTCTTTATCTGCAAAAAGTCTTTGTAATTCCTTTTCCTTCTCTTTCGTCCGTGCCTAAATTTGATACAGAAAACTTCACATTAATGTCTCAATTTCATTAATTCCTGATGGATATACCATTTTAACTTTTGCGTCAAAGCTTACCACTAGTGAAATAATAATCAAAAATAATATTCTGAATTTCTAAAATTTCAGAAATTATTGATTAAATTTGATTTTTTTGTAAAATCACCAAATTTTTCAAGTCCGACTGCGGCAATAAACTTTGACTATTTGAGAGGATCTGACAATACAACTTAATATATGACAATATATCTTACACAGACACGACATACGATTTACATGATTGATCTACACACACACCCATTCCTAAATTCGTAAGACCAAGTGATTTGAAATGTGTGTAACTAATAACCAGCGAAGCATGACCAGCCAATAGGTAAATTAGACGATAACTTATTTCTTGTTGTCTATGTCGTTAGCTGACAACTGTCAACTAGGCCTGTCAATACAACAGTGAAGTTATCAAATAGGAATCTTATATTCACAAATAAAAACAAAACAATAACATGTTCTTTCAAAATAAAAAACAAAATGAAAATATAGTATGAAACTTCTCTCTTTTTTTGTCAAGACTTGTGATTTACAAAAAAAAATTTAGTTTTTCCAAATTTTAAATAAAACTCCAAAAGCATCTCTTTAAATTTCACTTACTTTATCAAAAGTATATCTTTTACTAACCAAACCAATCAAAATGTATTTCAAATAACATTCATAATTCTTCCTAATTTAAACCAAGCAATATTAATTTAATTCCTTTTTTATAAAATGTATTATTAGATATAATTTACTACTAAACCATGCCATAATTTTTTTTTTTTTTTTCAATGTTTATAGTAATTAATCAGATATATCAAAATAATGACTATAATCAGGTACACATATATGTACAGTGGAAACATGGGATATATGAGGCAATTAAAAAACATTTACTGTGGATTCATGTATGTTCTTGGGTACCAATTTTCATAGATTAAAGACAAATTATATTTTTTGTGGATATTTGGTTTCATAGTTTTGTCAAAGTCTGTTAGACGTTTAAATTCGTGGTTCACTAGTTCCCACGAAATCCACTAAAAATTGATATATTACGAATAATTATGAGTCCACAGTATATTGGACATGGGCACTGGTCAAGCCAGATAGTTTTTCGTTCATCCAATATTTTATTGTATATCCCTTTGAGTCACTTTTTAACAAACGTATCCCTAGTGATCTTTGTGTTGCCCATGGTATCTTGCAAACTTTTGATACACTGGTTCAGTTTAAGAATTGACCATGTGATCACTTGAAGGATCAGGATGTGATTTTACAAAATTTGAAGCATGATTCAAGTAGACTTCAGATACCATTGACACATTTTAGAATAAAAAGAATAAAAGGAGATGTGAGGTCTATGTCAAAGAGACATGAACCTAACAAATCATCCAAAGGTCCACATGTGATCTTCAACAATTGACAGTTGTCTAAATAATATGTCTAGCTCTAAATCAATCTGAGTCTAAACAGTTGTCACACATCCTTTCCATTATAACTGTCCAATAGTGTGTCTATAAATAGATCAGGTCAAACATATTTTTATTATAACTGTCCAGTAGTATGTCTATAAATAGATCAAATCAACCATTCTTTTAATTATCACTGTCCAGTAGTATGTCTATAAATAGATCAAATCAACCATTCTTTTAATTATCACTGTCCAGTAGTATGTCTATAAATAGATCAGACTTTTATTTTTATACTGTTGCCCAAATTTTTTAATTAATCTTATTTCTATAATTTTCCATATACATGTAGTACATGTATTGATATCATTTTTTCAAAATATAGAAATTATTCAATTTGTATAATTAACAGAACCTTTTTACAGTATTCATTGTCCTTTTAAATTTTTTCTGCATTTTATTAACAAAAAGACCCATCACTTATTACTTCTGGTCCTTTTTTTTAACTTTCAGTATTTTCTGAACAAAAAGACCCATACTTAAGATTGTATATGAATATTTTTAATACTGTCATCATAATTCTATGGAATTTGTGATGTAAAATTATGATGGTTTAAAAGTCTGTCACATGTAAACTATCTGATCGTATATGGCCTGCTATAACGAATAGTCCCAATAGAGGGATGCTTTAGCTTAAGGATATTCGCTCCACTTGTTTTTGAATTTTAGCCAGATATTCGTAATCCTCTGGTTTTATCAATGAAGTGCCATTAAAAATTTTGCCTGCTAACCCCTACTTTTCTTTTCATAATTTTATTACATATAATTTAAAAAGTCATATATGAAAATCTTATAAAATCCTTGTTATTTTTTCATAGTTTTTGAAAGAAAAAAGGTGCTAATGTTAAATGTATGAAAAATCTAGAGAGAACTATTTCCAGCCAAATTTTCAATGGCTAATATCTCGAAAACAAGCACACCTACCCTTCATTTTTTTCTGCTTTTTTTGTTTCTTTATTTATATACTATCAATGTATAACAGTCTTTTAAAAAGCTTGTTATTTTAAAATAGAGTAGCGAACATCCTTAAGATGAAGGAATGTTTTGTAAAAAGCCACTTAGTGGGTTAATAATACTAGTAATATTATCATATGCATATGTCAATCTGTGATTTGAGGTTAACCCTAAATTAAATTAAAGTTCCTCACGATATTCAAATATAAAGTTCTGATGAATACCACAAAATAAGACACAATCAAAACAAACCTGAAACCACAAGAACTGGTATTCACAAAATGAAATGAACTTAGAATATAAAGAATAGTTTCAATGTCATAGCATATATATCGTTTACCTGTTCTTTAAATTTTTGAGAAGTCAAGGTAACCAGTCTATTAGGGAACCAGATTCTTACCTCAGCAGTTGCTTCTATCTTTTCTTCACAATCTTTTAGTTTGTCTCTTAACTGTTTGATTGTCACTTCTGTAAAAAGTGAAAGAAAAAAATCAATTTACCTCCCTTTGATCAAGTGAATACACTTCATTAAAGAGTACGCATCCCAATAATATTTTTCAGGAGTTATTTTTAGGAAAATTTAAAATGATTATCTATTTTCAATATAATTGCTTTCTTTTGAAAATTTATTATAGGTAAACAAAATACAAAAAGAACTCTAAAGATATAAAAATTTAAATAAATTTGAAATATTGATAATTATAACAATGAAACTTCAATAAAATGATTTTAAATTCATATCTGAAAAAATTGAAATATTCATATTACTTTCTGACATATCCGGAATATTGAAAAGATCATGCAAATATGTATGATCAAATTTCTGCCTCACTGACAATTAAAAAACTGGAAATCTTTTTGTGTGTGATTTGTCTACATTGTACTGCGCATTAAAATGCAAAGTGCATTGATAAAATTCAAAGATCAGATAGAAATTGATTATCAATCGTTATTGTTCCGTTTTCCCTACGAAAAATAAAAAAATGTTCATCATGAAGATTGATCACTCAGAATGAACTTTCCTTTGTCAAAACTTCAAAAGAATCCCAAATTTTAAAATAAAAATTGATTTGAGAAGACTTTGACTGCCATGGCATTAAATCAAAAAAATTTAAACAAAGACTTGGAAATCGAAAAATCGTTCGGTAACCAATTGATAAATATGAGTTTTTACATATAAGATTAATACTGCTGTCCCAAAGTGCATTAAATTGCATTGATTTTTCTACAAAATTGGAATAAAAATTGGAAATCTACATCGATCACTATTCCTATTTAAAATCCACTAAGAGCTAATTGATAGAAAGATCAATGGGTTTTAGGGTTTTGATGTATACACAGGCGATCTGGATTGTCACCAAAGCTGACGATAATATGATAATAATTTACTTATACTCGTACGGGAGCATAGAAAATTGATTTTCTATAAAGTGAAATCAGCTTGTCTAAATAAAGGATCAGAAAATGATAAATTAATCAATACATGTAAACAGAAAGTGACATTTATGTATACTTTTTTTAAATCCTCGTTTTTTTAAAAAGAAAGTTTCTCTTTATATATGATAAATCCTAGCTTTATAGTACACGTTTTATGTGTAAATCTTATTTTCCTGTATACGGAAAAAGAGTAGACAATTCCGAGAGAAAAATGAATAGCAACAAAATCATATCAAATAGGTATAAAAATGTTTATGTGGGTGGTTTATTCCATTTTGCACCTGATTTGTTGAAAAACTTTTTGCTTTTGTTTATCCATCATGATTTTTGTAATTGGCTTATGAAACTTTGTTCCAGATGTGAATTTGGTCTCATGGTCTCAAGGGTAACTTTTTAATGTATAGCTGTTTGAAATGGAAACAGTATTGTCTATTTATATTAAATTATAATGCTGCTAATATATTTTAATGACATCAAAAACTATTCACATCTGCCTTTTCGTGTTATCTCCCTTCAATGCATATGCTAAATAAAAAGTCTTGAGAAAAATTAATTTTACCCCTTTTAAGTCTTTTTATATCAGAGGTTATTCCCTTTATCACACCTCAGGTAAATTAGGGATGATGTAATTGTTTAAACGCCATCAGGTGTTGACCGCCTAACGACCTGTAGGGGGTCAGCAGATTTCATAGGCATATCATGACGTCAGGTTTTCTATTATTGTTATTGAATTTCATTGTTTATTTTTATACAAAACTTGTCAGGAAAAGTAATGTGCGATAAATTCCATATACTGTTTGCTACTGACCCCCTACAGATCCATAAAGGGTTAGTAAAATCTATAGGGATTTGGCTTCTGCCTCACCCTTATGGATTTTACTAACCCTTTATGGATCCATAATGAGGGAGAGGGGGGGGGGGGGGGGGGGGGGGGTGTAGCAAACCATATCACTTATATAAGCATTTTCATACATCTGGAATAAACTGGTTCATTCATGGTCACACTTTTTTGAGAGAAAATAACCTTTTAATGACTTCATACAACAGACCTTAAAAAAAAGTTCTCACAATCTAACATTTAAAATTTAGACCATTCTATATATCAAAAGTTTAAAAGGATAAAATTCTCATTAAGCATCATTAATTATTTCAACTATTTTTCACTTCTGAGCGTTAATTAATAACAAATATGTAAATTAATAATCTAATTAAAATAAATGCTCGTTACAATAGGCGGTCAGAAAGCAGAAATGACAGTGACATGCATGTCTTCGACCTCAGGCCATTATAAATTTGACAAGACAAACAATTTTTTTCTGTATATCTGAATTAGCCGTCAATTTACAAATCTGTCCACGTATTTTATAATGGGCCATTAATTGTGTATCTATCACTACTTTATGTTTTAACATTTATTAAAACAAAAGACAATTAATTTTTCTATTTTATTTAATTTTTTGAAAGAAAATGAGTCAATTTTTCTTCATCATATGTCAAGATTAGCCAGGGATGAGTTAGGATGTACTTAACTATTTTTTTGTAAAACAATGGAAAGATGGATACTTAAGCACAGATTCAGAGCACCCCACAAAAAAATATTGTGTATAGCATTTTAACTTTCCAAATGTGAGGAAGAGTTTTGATGACGGTCAAATTCAAAAGGTCAAATTTCTTTTGATTGTCTGAAATCACAATTTCCATCAAATCTGGGGCTGATATAAGCCCTTTTTTAGTGGTTCTAAATAAGACAAAAACCTGATTTCCAAACAAAGACGTTACGTTCTACTTGAAATGATCACAAGTACCAACTTAAGATTATCCATAATAATACAAAATGTGATACAATAAATAAGACATTTTTACCTTGGTTTTTCACCTCAGCAAATTCATGGTTATATTCATCAAGTGTATCACGTAACTGTTTGTTTTCTATTTCTAAATCTACCACTCGCTGAGCTTTCTTTTGAATCGTTGTAGCATACTCCAGCACCGAAACAGGATCTTAAATAAAAGATTTTCTACAAAATTTAGATTTATAATTTTTTTTATTATTTTACATTAACAGTAAACATTCAAAATTTCAAGAAAATCTTCAATATAAATTTTTAAAAATTTGTTATATACTATTGGGGAACATCATTATACATTTCAATAAGACAGACAGGAAAAATCTTTCTGTTTAAGCTTTAACTTCAAGACTTTTGACTGGTGTGATTTTTAAATCAGTGTACCCTCAACATGAGAAACATATTAACTATAAGCAAACTATCAGGCTATCAATTGTATACAACCCTCAAACAAATATAAAAAAAATTTGGTTCAAGGACAAAAAAGCAAACAATATACTGAAAATTTTGAGTGGAATAATGGGAGATAACTCTGCTCAATAAAAGGGAGATAACTAACCTGGTAAATCAATGAGTTTCTTATAAATGGACAAGAAGGCTGCTTCTGCTGCTTTACTTCTCTTGGATAAAAAATCAACTTCTCCTTGGAAACTTTTTAACAATGGTGCAACTAATTTACGGACATCCTGAAAATATCAAAATAAGCAACGTCAATTATCATTAATAAATCCTCATATCTAGTTACCAATCCTAATTGATACTTATATGAATTCATACAAAATTAGTCTACCTTGATCAAATTTCAGCCCTAATCAGACATTTGTGTATCAGACAGGAGGGTAGCTTAATTTTACCTTTCATATCTTTAAATTTAAACAAATGAATCAATTGAATATATTTGAATTTCAGTCAGATCAGCAATGTAATACACCATTTGATTGCCAAAAAAAAAACCAGGATGTCATTACAATAGTTATCTCAGTTAAATTTTGTATACTTCATTTCTAAATAACTTGTGAAAAATGACAAAAAAACATATCTACCTAACAATTAATTCAAAATTTTCAAACTATATTGCACACACTACCGTCGAATATTACAAGCTAACTTTTGGTTGTTGTACAATGTTCACATGGACAATCCCTAAGCTAAGGACAGAGATATAGATGATCTGCTTTATATTGTTAATCAAATGGTTTTAGAAACAGAGAACACAAAAAAATCTACCATAAAATTGTAGCAGAATGCTCTGGAATGACAATAAGAATACCACTATAGTATGCTTATCTCCCTTGTCCCTGAAATTTGTGAAATTTATGAAAATGCCTACTGAAGTTTGTCAGTTACTTTTTGGAATGTTCAGTCATCTTTCTTAGGTATTTAAGTTTCCTCCTACAGAAACTACAAGAACTCACAATCATGACAGAATTTGAGTACATAGTCATGATAGTAGAAAGTGGTAAACAGACTAACGATTTCCAAGGACGTATATTAGGTGTTTAAAAATCATTGCTATTTCTATTTAAGTACAAATGTACCAAAAAGACATTAACTTTCTGTCATATGACAATTCTACCTGCATTATTTTAGAAAGGTTTTATTGAAATTTTGGTTAGCATTTCTCTTAAGTATTCTAAATTCTCCCCTTTTTGTCAAATAAAAGTATTATGCAAATTAGGGGACACATTCAAGTGGTCATACATTGTATTGGTATTCAACCTGATTCACATTTTTAATGATGACCATACAACATGCTATCAAACTTGCATTTCTAAAAGTACTTTTGCCTTTTGTCTTCCTCTCTTCTTTCACACAATGACATAAACTATCTCAATTTACAAATCATCCAATTCAACAGGACAGATAAAACTATAAATAGCTTAACAGGGTGTGGAAAATTAATTCTTGGAAATCCCATTTAATTGAACATATGATCTGTTAATGTTACCATATATACATACAGTTTGATTTTAATACAAATTTTAAATGTTCCAAACTTCAAACAGGTCATGTTATAAATATACAATCAACCTGTGAATATCAACTTTCTTTTAAACTGTAATGTAAAATAAATAGTTCAAATAATCTACCTCTTGAGTGATCAGCTAAAAAATAAACATTATTTCCAACAAAATCCAAAACAATTCTCCTTCCTACTTGAAGTATTCAACTACAAAGTCATCCTTTTCATGTCTATTTCATTCAATCACTGTGGATTATGATCAGATGATTAAACCAGTTGTAATTTAATCTCTTCACTAAATGATCCAATTTTGTAAAATTGTGTAGTTGGATAAATCTTAATAACACAGACACCAGGTTGATAACATCAATTTTCAAACTTTTGATAAAAAACACACTTCATCTTTTATCATTTTCACCAATAAATCAGCGCAGTTGCTCCCCTTTTCAGAGGCATCAAATCCAATCAATTTTTGTGACCTGAGGCTATATGAAAGGGAACTTTTGATTTGTAATTCGAGAAGTATAATTATCAAAGCTAGTTTCATTTTACTGGAAAAACCAAAGTCTATTAAACGATTAATCTAGAAGCAAGACAAATGTTTAAAATCATTCTTTTCTGCAATGATAGCTGTTTTATTGGATAAATACAAAGGATGACCAAATGTCAACTGAATTTGAAAATAGAAGTTAAGATATCATCACAGAAACAGCTAGTTTTAAGTTCGGACTTCTAGAAACAGCTAGTTTGAAGTTTTGACAACTTTGAACTTTGAGGTCAGATGAATCTTGTGTTTTACATTGAACTGGTGTTTGTTCTTTTGTGTTGGAATAGTTATTAGTGATGGATTTATCAATGTAATCAGATTCTGACTGTCAAATCAGCTGGTTGTTCAGCTGTCAGAATGATTTGTCTCCCTTTACATCTGAAAGTTTTCAATTTCAGTGTCTCCATATTTCCCCAAGGAGGAGAGAAAAAAATTACTAATCCCCTATTATCTTAAGAATACCTATGTAGTGCCTCACATATAAATCCATCCCTATTAACAAGCCAATCACCAATGAAATCAAAGATTCTGATACAGGGGTTTATCTAGGGTCACCACATCATGCCAAAAAATCTCGGCATAAACTAAACTTAATTAACATTGACAAAATCATGGGCAAAAAAGTCAGGATTTTCTTCCATGATGGATGTTAATTAAATCGTATTAGATAAGACAAAATATATAAATATTATCAGTTATCTAAATGTGCAATATACAATCGGGTTAGACATATTGACATCCTATTTTGTAGAAATGGTGATGTAAGGATTACGCTAATCTAAGGATCGCGTTGGGGAAATTTTTGAAAAGATGACTTGTGCTGAACCTTTTTTTATCATGGAATATGAGAATATGTTTCATTAAATATATCAAGCAAGCAATTATGATCATACAATTTTTCAATAACTGTGACTGAAATTTATGGGCTTCAACTAGAGAGTGCATGCATGCATCCATGGTATTGGCAAACTGATCGAGGGAAAAGTTTCATTATTTCGGTGAACAAAATAAAAGGGGAAGGGTTGACATCTCAAAAACTAGTTTATTCAAACACATATAAATAAGTGAGGACTTGTCAATGACTGTTTGTAAATGTTTTATGCCCAATGTGACTTTGGTGTTGATTGAAGATCTATGATAGGGTCTAGCTTTGTTATATAAATTTACACACAATTTCTGGAGTCTTAGGGTGATATATAGAGCTACAGGCACATTATTTATGGACAGTCAGAGACCATATGTTAACCTATAGAGTCTTGGGGTGACGATATATAGAGCTTCAGGCACATTATTTATGGACAGTCAGAGACCATATGTTAACCTATACATATCATTTAATTGTTTAAGTGTTCTGGGTTGCTGTCTTTTGATGTATCTTCCTATCAATTTCATCAGAGACATCATGTGTGAAATTTCAATTGTTATAACTTTGGTATTTTGAAAGTTTCAACATAAATAACATAATGTACACACAAGTTACAAATATCCCAAACAAGACTAGATACATTGATTGATTGATAGATGTTTAATGGCTGGAAATGTCTTCATCCATATCAAAGTCATTAAATATCAGTCTGCAAGATAAAATTTTAAATCCACAAGCCTGAAGCTATATTAGTAAGATTCTTTTGGCTTGTATGGATGATTTTTACAGGCCCAAAGTGATTTTACAAACCTGGGATTGTGGGCCTGTGGTTAAGGGTGAAGACAAAAAAATTGATTAGAAAACATCAAAAATGTATCTTTATTTCTTTCAATAGTGAACAGCTTAAGTTAGATCAAAATTCATAAAGTATTACTTTCTTTTATGAAGATTTGCACCTTTGTCAAAAATGTTTGATAGAGATTATCTAAGGGCACCTGTGTGTAGTAACAGATTAAGTGATATATTGTACTTTGACAATGGGGGACATTAATAGATGTGTTTGTTATTTTCAGAAGTGAGAAATCATTAGATGTCAATTCTGATTCTCTTCATTCCTTTGTTTTTCTCTATAGATCATAGAAAGATTGATACTTGCTGAGGCTCTGCCAGGGATACACAGTGTAAACAATATTGCTGATGTCACTGACCAGGTCAAAAACTAGGCCACTGACCTCCAGGGTATAAAGTTCTATTAAGATCAAAGTGGAACAATTAATTAAAGTTTAGTTGATGAAGGTTCACTGAAATGTTTTATTGGAAACACTTAGAATATACAAAACAAATATGTAATCATTTTATTCTCATTTTCACATTTTTTCTTTTTAACACTAAATGGTTTGTATAACAAGCTACATTGAGACCTATATTACTCTGCTTATATTGAGACCTATATTACTCTGCTATTCAATATCAAAATGAGGAGATGCAGTATGATTGCTAATGAGACAACTATCTAACCAGAGTTAAAATGGAATGGTAAGTAACTCTGCTTTTTGGATTATCTCCCCTCTCTTGATTGTCAGTAATTTCATAAAATCATTATAGTACTAAAATTATGCATAAATTGAAAAAAAATATTATCAATTGCTAATTTCAATACATTATATTTCAGCTGGTAATAACTTAAATGCTTAAATGACAGTTGCTTCCCTTTGAAAACTATTTATTTGATTTTTAATCAAAACAGCTTCAAATTCAAAGTATTCAGTTTTGCCCCTTTAGAATTAAAACAATAAATGGTCAACTAGAAACAAAAATTTTGATTTTAAAATTGGTAACTTTATTCCTTACTGAAAACTAACATCTGTTTGTTTTTCATTGTCCAATTTATTTATATTCATTGAATGTTTAATTGCTATACTTCGTTATTTGTCACAGTAATATGCTTTATCACAATAAAATTTCTTCATAAAAATAATTTGAGCAAAACTATATATACTCAGGACATTTTGCAACAATTTCATAAATTAATCGAATTAGTTTTCAAGGAAACATTTACTTTTCTCAGAAAAAAAAAAACATCTAAATTTAGAAGGCGGTAGTTTTCTTCAGTGCATAGAATTTAATATTAGATCTTATGCCCATCAGTCCCTAACAATTGATCTGTTTGTCATGACATAAGTACATAAAGTGGTTTCAATGACAACTCTTACAACGATCTTAATGACTCACAGTCAATTATAAATACTCTAGTTTACTCTTTGTTCAGATACCAATCAGCATCAAAACACTTCATAGTCAAGTGGGCCCA